AATTATATATATTTATATATTAAATCCTCATTTAATTTTAATGAAATAAAAATACATTTTATTGAAGATAATTATAATATGAAAATTATTTTTTCATTTATCATAAATTTATAAAAAGCAACATATATAATAATTTTTTTATAAATATAAATTATAAATATTTAATTTACATAAAATTAAAATTTTTAATTATTTTTTGTAATTAAAATGATATAAATATTTTTACTCTCATTATTTATTTTTTATTTTAACTAAAATAAATAAATCTTCAATTGTTTAGATTTGACATATTGGGAATCCATGATATATCTTCATTTTCTAGTTTATCAGAAATAATATATTCAAGTCCAGTATATTCAGTACTTTCTTTATTTTATAGGCTATTGATATAAAATAAATAATTCCACAAATCATGAGTTCTTATATGTTCTTCGAAACTAATTTCTTAATTATCAAGCTATATTTTTAAAAATTTAAATTAAGAAAAAAAAAAAAAAAATTATACAGTTGTTCTCTCAACTCCACAAATATAGCATTTATTTTTTTTATCTTAATCAATAGAATTTCTTTTATCTCTCATTTCTGCAAAAGTATCGATCATAATACCACTTATAATATTCATAAAAAGAACAGTTACGAAAATAAAATAAAGGGTATCATAAATAAATGTACTAGTATCCCAATTAGACATAGAACTACCTACAACTCCCGAAAGACTTAAAGTAATCATGCAAGAAACAAGCGAATTACAAGTTTCTTCATCTTGTATAACCTATATTTCTTTATAAATTTCTTATATATAATTTTCAAAGGCTATAACACTAAACATATATAAAAACATAACTCCAAGAAAACTCACTAAAATGAGTTATTTTATTTTTAAGAAAATCGATTAATAAATATTTTCTACCATACCGTAAATAGACTTTAATTTACTCTATTTTGAATAAATAAATACGTATATTCATATATATAATAATAATTACTATAGCATAAGGTAAACTCAAAACCAAATATTTAATATGGAAAAAGTCAGCTAATATCGAGGACAAAAATAAAACAAGTAAATGAGCAAATTAGTTATGTTTAAAAAACTATTTAGTTTTAATCCAAAAAGTATTATTTTCTGACTTCGATGGCACTTAATTAATTGCAGTGAATAAAATAAGAAGGACAATCGAGATTAGTTAAACTAAGTTTATCAAAAATATAAAAACATGAGAAATAGGTCCATAAAAAGTGAATTCCATTTTATAAAGGGATTTAAAGTTAATATTAATATTTAAAATAATTAATAGATTTATTAAAATTGAAAGATAAACAATAAAACTTTATATAAATTATATTTTCTCCCCTGTAGCAGCAATTATATATTGATTTAATTTATAATTATGTTCTATTTCATCAAATACCAAACTTTTAAATTAAAGTAAATCCATTATTTTATCTCTTTGTGTTTCTCTATTTACATTCATCATAATATAGTCTTTTGTATCAGCAGATAGAAATTTAAATAATGGAATATAAGGAAAATATACGTATTTATATTATTTTTGGTAAAAAATTTCTATTGATATTATTTTTGAGTCTAAATATTTTACTATATCTTAGTATTTTTTTAATTACGATATAAACTCTTATTTTACATCTTTATCGAATTCCTAAAATCTTCTTATTATGGTTAATACGTTTAATATTTCAATAATTAAATTATCATAATTACCATTTTATTATTTCTTTTATTCATTTTCTTTAAGTTATTATAAGTTTTATACTTATAATTTACTTAGATTTCTCTCTATTACTGTAATTAAAAAACTCTTGTATAATTTGTTACTTATTTCTTTATATATTTATTCGTCCGTACCTTCTAATACTACTAAAGCACTCATAATAACCTATTTTTTTATATTATTATTAGATTTTTTAAAATTAAAATAAAAAAATTACTTTATTATATAAAGCATATATTTAATCAACTTCTTCTTCTGTTCTGAAATATCTATTTATACGATTCTATTCTGATTTAAAGAATTAAGAAAGAATAGAAATATCTTCATAATAAGTAGTTTCCGCTAATGAAAATTAATTCAATAAACAAGGAACTTAAGTAACTTCAATAAGAAATTGAGTAATAAAATTAGGAATTAAAGTTAAATCCTGTATATATAAAATTAATATATGTATATATGTATATATATATATATATATATATAAATATGTATATATTTATATATTTATTTTATTTATTATTTATATTTCTATTTATATATTACTTTATTCATTATTTTAAGAAAACTTCTATTTGTTTAGTTTGCAATATTTATAAAGTTAATATTTGTAGATTTAGGTTATTGATTTACATTTACTTATGTCCGAAAGAAATTTTTCATTTAAATATTATTATTTTCACAGCTTAACTGCAAAAATCTAAAGATTCTCTACAAGACATTCATACATAAACTTAAAAAATAGATTTCTTAATAATCATCAGGTTCGGATGTACATTTTCTAAGCATAATTTTTTTCTATTTATCATAATAATCAAAATTATTTACAATAATTAATTTTTTTTTAGTCTAAAGACCTTTTTTTAGCTTATCTTTAGATATTCTATAAATAACTTTTCCTAATTTTTAAATTAAAGCATTAATATTTTATAAAATTATATTATCTTAATCTTCTAACAATATTTGTAATATATCATTCTAATTTTTTTAATTTCCTCCTAATAAAATACTTATTCCAAAAAGTAAAACTTCATTAGTAAACGTCAATCTTTACTCCAACCCTTTTTATTTTAATAAATCACATAATAATTTAGCAGCTCCCATACTATGCATTAAATCCTAAACATCTTTTATTTGTTCTTTACGTCCTATCCAATATTCAGTTTCCCACATATCAACACTTATTGGATCATCCTTTATTTTTAATTATTTAAATTATTTTATAAAAAAATATATATTTTATTTACTTAATCATTTGGGTTACATTAAGTAATTTATTTAATTAAAATTTCTAAATAAAAAATATGCAAATTATCGTTTAAATTTTTATTTGCTATTGCAAATTTTATTATATTTTTTATAAATAAATTCTTATTAAGAATCTCTATTTCTGAGTTGTAAAATTATTTACTAAGTTATTCTATATTAGTTACAGTTTCATACAATTAATCGTATTCTCTTATAATATAAATATTATTATATAATTTAATTTTTTTTTAAAAAAAAATACCTATTTAAAAATTAAGTAAATGAAGGATCATATTTTAAATAAGAAGCTAAATTAATTAATTTGTTATTTAAGTATTTATTAGAATCATCTATATTAATTGAATATAATTTTTTTTATTTCTTAGATTATTCCTCTTCACACTCATTATTTTCTTCTTCATCATCATTTAAATATAACCTCAACATTTTCTTTACTCCTACTTAAAGAGATTTCGCATAATTGTTTTTACAACTTCTTCCATCATCAAATAAAGTACTCATGCAAGCAAGTTTCAATTAAATGTTTTATTATTCATCTTCAGAAACATTTTTAGAGCCATCAGTATTAATAAGAGCAAAAGATTAATTAGTATTAATATTATAAGTACTCATACATCCAAAATTAATAGAACTATAAATATATAAATATAAATATATATATATATATATATATATATATATATATATATATATATAAAAAAAATACTTATTATTCTTTCTTATATTCTCATAAAGCATATTTTATTATTATTGACCATTTTTGATATTTTCCCGAATCTAAAAAATAATATTATCAAACTAAGATATAGTTTTTTATAAAAAATTAACAATTAATTTTTATTATTATTTATGAATATCATGTGTTACGAACACAACTTTTAATTTTTCAGCCAAATCAATCATTTAAATATGTAAAGTGAATTTATTTCTATTGAAATTTTTATTTAATTCTTCATTAAAAAGTTACACGAATAATTAATTATTAAATAAAAAATATAAGCTGAGTATAATTTCTTCAAAATTAATTAATGTATAAGAATAAAAATATTTATATTTTAAAAACTGAGAAAAATAAACCTATTCATATAAATCTTTATGTTAACTAATTATCTAATGATACTCTTCAATATCATTAATCATCATTTCAAAATCACAATAAATAATTTCAGTAATCATATCTCTCATTTATTCGAGTTTTTTAGACTTCTCATAATCGAATTTTTCATAAGAATGTATTTATAAATTTATTTACTTTTTTTTTTTAAAAAACACCTCTTCTGAATTATCTAAAAGGTTTTTTACATAAGAATGATTTGGATCAAAGCAACTGTTTTCTAATATTTCAGTGTCAAATTTTTATTATCTTATTTACAAGCTAGTATTTAAACACTATTGAATATCTTAAGTATCTAAATTTTATTATTCAATGAAATTTTCTTAATACTCTTGGTTATAATAAAGTCTATTTATATAGGTTCTTATAGTTTCCTTTAGAGGAATGCATTTTTTACTAATATTCAATAAGTTAATTAAATATGAAAAAGTGTGCATTTTTCTACACTTGAGAATATTTATTTAATTCTAATCTTCGACAAGATCAGCAAAAAGTGAAAAAAAGGAAATCAAATAAAGTAACCCAGGAGACATAGTAATAACTATATTTTAATTATTTAAACTATTAAGTTATGTCTCGAAATTTTAAATTAATTTTTAAATTTAATTTTCATTTAAAATCTATTTATTGATTGAAAATATCAATACATTTGAAAATTCACTTTTTTATAAAATCTACAAGATTATTCTTTAATTACATTTTATACTTTTATCATTTACAATAAGTAAAGTTTTCAAAAAAAATAAAGATTAGCTTTTAAAATAATTATTTAAACTAATTCCATCAGAAAGCTATATAATTTAATAACTTATTTTTGAAACTTCGTCCATATTTAAAAGTAAAGTCTTTGTATTTGAATATAAATTACTTAAAAACTCTAGACTTCCTACATTATATTACAAATGCTCTATTGCTAATTTCCTATATTTTAAAATAGCCATTTTTGATTCATGATTATTCCATATTAATAATCCCAAATAATTATAAACTGCTTATAAAAGTTTAAATAAAAGCTAACTTTATTTACTTTAATCTATTTATTGAGTATTTTCCAAAAACTAGATTTTTTTTTTTTTATACAAATATATATTTTATTCTTAATAACTTTTTAAAAAAAAAAAATACTTTAATCAAAGGTAAATGTAAATCATGAGATCTTAATAAATTTTAAATAAAAGTATTATTTAATTCCCTTTCATCATAGAAGTTAATAATTACATTTTCTTAAAAAAGTTCTTCAAATGAATATTTTGCATATCCACTTTCATAAATAAAATCTTTTTTCATACATAAAGAATAAAACAATAGATCTTGTATAATACCAAATTAATTTCTTTATAAATTACTTTTTTCTTAATTCTGTACTTCAATTTCATCATAATCACTAGCTACATATTAAATATTAAAAATATTATCGATTTTTAATAAGTTATTTTAATCATTTTCATTAATTTATTAATTATTTTCTTATGATTATTAATTATTTAACTATGGTTAATCTAAAATACTATTACTTTGAATAGTAGTAATATTTTCTATTTATTTTTTAAATTAAGAAGGATGAATTGTTTCATAATGTTGTTATTTATTTTCCTTTAAACAATAACTATCTTCTGATTTAGAAAATATTATTTATTTTTAATTTTCATCATTTTTTTATTTTTTTAATTAACTTGTTTATTTTTTCTAACGAATTTCAACCAAGTTTTCTTATTTTTACTCCTAAGATTATTATACTATCGAATTAGACTTTTTAATTTCTGAAAATAGCTAACTGCTATTAAAATTACTAGTATTTTTAGCAATTTCTTCATGGTATTATTAACTTTATTTAATAACATTTGACTATTATAAAGGAGAATTCAAAGAATCGCAATCTTTCCAAATATAATAATTAAATAATTCATGTTAGTTTCTCATATTAACTTCCAAAATCTTTTTGTCTTTTAAAATTTCGAATTTTTATCTAAAATAAAGTATTGATTTTGTAATTTATTCAGGCAAGCCTCCATTAATAAGTATTATTTTTTCCAAATTTTATAAAAGTTATTTCTTTTAAGTAAAAAGTTAATTTAATATTGATAAAACCAAATTAAAAATATAACCATTATTCATAGTAATTATAACTTCAAACAATACAATTTCAATCTTTTCTAAATTGTTTTCAAACATGAAATTATCTTTCCCAATAATCTTTGTAAAATGCTCTTTCCAAACATCTGTTTGACATAAGAAGTTATCTTCTTTATCTTAAAATTTTTTAGTTAATTAAATTATTTCTTAAAACATAGATCTTAGTTTAGGAGTTTATTACGATTTTCTTTATTTTGTACAAGATTATGTTGTATTTATTAATTCTTAATTTTAATTTTTTTTCATTAATTCTTAAGCTTATTATACACTTTTTTTAAATTCATAAAGAATACTGCCTATTCTACAATTAGTTTGTAATTCTTATTTTCATTTATATATATTTAAAAAATTAATAATAAATTTAATAAAATACCTAAATAATAATCAATAAATGTAGTTATTTTTTATTTGCATTTGCTTATTATTTCATTATCTAAAACACTTTATTATTCAAGTGTTTTTAGTACCAACTCTTTTCTATTTTAATCTTTTTTATTTTATTTTTTATGTAAAAGGTACAAAAATAAATATTACTTGATAATAAAATTTCTTTTGTTTAAAGTTTACTTTTATGCGTATAACTAGTTAAAATTTTCATAACTCCTGGTAAAAGATGATCTATTTCATCTTTTTTTTCCATATTCCTAAGTCAATAGATTTTCTATTAGTAATATTTATTTTTTAAACAATAATAATATTTTTTTAAACAATAATAAATATACAATAATATTTCTAAAATTGTATAAATTTCAGTATTATATATTTCTCTTGAAACACAAAAACCTTCGAAATCATCAATAAATTTTTTAACATAATTTTTTATTTATTATAAAGGAAGATAATATTTTTTATCTTTTGAAGAATTTATATAGGATTCATCTTTTATTTATTCCCATAATCTTACTTTAGATAATTTAGAAACCTTTTATTTAAAATAAAATATTTTAGTTTACAAATAAATAAAATACACTGCAAGAATTATAAACATCTAAAAATGCGTAATTTAATAAATTCAAAAAAGGAGTTCGTCCATTAACTTAAATAATGTTTTAATCATTAATTAAACAAAATATCATATCCAAATTAATAATAGTATCAACAAATTGTTTTGCTAACTTATTTCTTTAGTAACATAAATTAGCTAATAGTTCTATATAATTTAAAAAATATTAAAATGTATTTTAATTTTCCTCTAATTCGAAAGATTACTCATATAATTCTTATACATTTCTCCATTAAGGTTAATTTTCTCCATCTTTATTTTATTAAAATAATAATTAAAACAGAAAAAAATAAACAAATACCTAATTAGCATTTAATTAGAATTTATTTTTAATTATCTTAAGAAGACTTAAAGAAGAAATGAAAATTAGGAAAATCATGATTTTTATAACAGAATTCTTTCAAAATAGTAATTTAATTTTACAATACAGCATCATCATTACATACAGTCATTTAATTAAGTATTTTACAATGAATATAATGTGGTTTTTATTATAACAAAATTAACTAAATAATACTTGCTATAGACTTAGAATTAATAAATTCTTACATAATAACTACATTATTTTTAAAGAGTTCAGTAAGGAATTTTAAAATTTAATCATCGTCATAAAATTTAAAAGCCTAGTTAATAAAAAGTTCAATGCTTTAAGTTAAATAAAGCTGATTTCTGACATTATTTTTAGTTATTTTCTAAAGTAAAAGGTAGCAGATTTGAAAAAGTATTTACAATTTTTACTACATTGATTTATTTTCTTAATATAAATAAAACACGTTATTATTTTAAAATAAAAGGAACAGAATATACACAATTTAAAAAGCGATTTTAAAATCAACAATAATATTTTATTTTCTTTCCAAATTAAATTAATCTTCTTGCAAAAAGTTATTTAATTAAACAAGTGATTTAATTGTTTTTTGAATTTGTTTTATTTACAAACATTATTTTATTAAAAGTTTATTCGAAGTATCTAATATAGAACATAAGAAATTCAATTATTCCTAAACAGACATTACATATAGAATCACATATTTTAATTCATCTGATATTTTCTCAATTCGAAATCCATGTCTACTTATTTTGTTTTCAAACCTACACTCGAAATTTTCTATAAATCTTTATTACAATAATTAATGTCTTTTCATTATCAAAGGCATATTAATTTCGAATTATTGACTATTCTATTACTATACAAATGTCTAATTTATTTGCTAATCATTGATTTCTTCTTGATTTTCCAAAAAGCCATTAATCTTTATTTTCTTATTTTATAAATCTTCAGGATACAAGCATGAAAGTTCTAAGCCATTATAAAGGATTTTTATATATGAATTTTTATTTAGTTAATTTTATTTATTATCTTGTTATTATTATTCTTCTATTACAATTTCATAATTATATGCTTCAAAATTTTTATTTACTTCTAAAAAATAATAATTTTTATTTACACATTTTTTAGGACTTTAAATACCTTATTTCAATCCTATAATAACCTCTTCTTATATTTTTTATACAATAGATTCTTGCATATTAATATCTCCGAATTAATATTCATTATTACTTAATGGAGACATATTATGTTCTTTTTAAACAGAAGAATTCGCATTATCATTTTCAGAAATGGAATTATTTGTTTAGTCTTATTTTTCTCCTAATAATTATTATATTTAACTTGAGAAATTATTCGAATCTTTTTCATCTTATTCTTGAACAATGGAATTATTATAATGTCTTTCTTATTATCTATTTTCTTTTCCTTATTATTATAAACTTTATAACATTTACTTCTATGGATCATATAATACTTCATGATTATTCAAGTTAATTTTTGGTAGGTTATAAATGCTGTTTGAACTGACTAATAAATTACTTTTTTAAGGGGAAATATTTTCTTTTCTTTTTTAATTAGTAATTAAACATCCTGTAGAAAATTCTCTTAGAGTATATAAATTATTTTTTATTTAATTAATTTCAAAAAGAGCACCATAGAGACTTGTTTTTATTTAATTATTATTATTTTTTATTTCATTTAAAACCAACTAATTATCATCTGGGCTCTTCTTGTATAAAATTCCATTATTTTTATTATGATAAATATATATTAAATCATAATTTTTTATTCTTTTTTTTTCTTCTTCTTCTTCTTCTTCTGATGTACTAATGTTTTATTATAAAGAAAATGAAAAACATATCTATTTATAGTTAGATAATACACATTAATATCTTAAATCATTTTTAAAAGGCCTTTTTATATGAATAAATTATTATATTTGGATTGTTTATTTAGTATTATATTATTATCTCTTTGAAAAATTTATTGTATCATTAAAATTTACATCTACATAACATTCCGTTTTTATGTTTTTTAAATGAATTTATTAACCAAATTTTATTTTATCGCCATCTCTATCAAATGAATTGAAAGATTCTATTTTAAATATATTAATACTGCTTATTTCTTTATCTAATTTTAATTTAAAATTATCTGGCGGTTTATCCATACATAAATATGATCCACTTAAATATTATTCACTATCCAAATGCTAAAATACAATTTCGCTTCCTAATAATACATTTTTACCTTTTTCTTGTTTTATTTTTATTTCATAATATTCTTTTTCTCTTTTTAACCTTTCTTCTAATTCAATTCTTTGCAATCTTTTTAATTTTATTTAAAAAAAAAAAAATATAACAAGATTTTGAAATTTTACTTTGTGGATTTATAATATTTATCATGTATTTAAAAATCTATTTTAGGTAAAATCCTAAAAAAACTTTCTCTTGTATTATATTAAAGTTATGGATTATTACTTATTAATTTTAAAAATGATATGTGTTTATCAGTAAATCTAATATTTATTATTTTTTAGATAAAAAAAATTAATAATATTATATTCTACCCTTTAGAATGCAAAAGACCATAATTTTCTTCAAAATTAATTTATTTACCAAAAATTTATACTATTTATCCATATTTAAGGATTATATTATTATCATTTTTATAAGGAGGAATTTCAATATTTAATATTGTATTTTGTCTTGATCGCTAGCTTGTAGTGGGAGAATTCTAATTTCTAACTAATGTTGATGTTAGTAATTCAGTCTCTTATTATCTAAGGGCATATTTTTTAAGAAACTAATCCATTTATTTATAAATTTTTAAAAGATAATTTTTTTTAAATAAATAATAATAAAAAAATAGATTAAAATTTTAATATGTATTTAATGTAAATATTATATTTTATTTAATAAATAAAAAAAACATTTATTGCGAATTATTTTTAATGAATATAAGTTTAATTAAAGATTAAAAAAATATAAGAAAAAAAATAATATAAAAATATATTAAAAATATATATTATTATTATTATTATTATTATTATTATTATTATTATTATTTTTATTATTATTATTATTATTATTATTATTATTATAATTATATTAAATTGAATAAAAATCATATTACTTTTTTTCTAATTATTACTGTATTCTTTTACAATAATCTAATATATAAGAACTTTTTATAAGATAAAAAATAAATTATTTATATAATATATATGTTTTTATAAATATTAAAAAATAATAATTAATTCTTTAATAATTTAAATGAATATACATTTTCTAGAAAAATTTATTAAGAAACAGTATTAATTAGAATAAAATAAGAATTGAACTAAATAATAAAATGATAAATAAAATTAGCAAATTATCAAATTAGATAAGAGATAATGAATTAATTAACTTGGACCTTCGAATATAATAAAATCTTTTAAATAAATTAAAAAACAGAAATTGAAAAAGAAAGAGTATAAAAAGCTATTAATTCAACTGAAGAAATTTATTATTTAAATTGAAGATATAAAATATTAGAGGAAAAAATAATACTTTGACAGAATAATCTTTCTAAAGTAGAAAGTTATTTTAAAGAAAAATAAGATAAACTTTCTAATTTAAAGAATATGAAGGATATTAGAAGTAAAAATTTATTAAATTTATGAGAAAATTCTTTATAATTTTAGCCTATAAAGAAAACTAATAGCAAAAAATGAAGAAGTAGAATAAAGGAGAAAATTATAAAAGAAAAATAAATTATTTATGGTACTGAAATATATATTGACCAGATAGCCTAGACGAGAAATACATTAATATTTAGTATAATGTTAAGTAAATTTTAAAGAAAAAATGGTTAAAAAGCAAAATGAAGAAGAATGAAAAATGCTATTAATACACATCTTATTATTACTGCCTAAATTTTAAAAAGATGACAAGAATATACAAAAACTTTTTATTAGGAAAAAAAAAAAAAAAAAAGAAAAGAAAATATTTTATATGTTTAAATATGTTATGAATAAATTAAAAATATATTATTATTATTTTATCTTTAAAAAAAAAAATATATTTTAATCTAAAAATATATATATTAAGATAATTTATTTTTTTTATAAAGAAATATGTCTGCTGCCAAAGAAGTTTAAATTTAATAGAATTAAGATCGTTAAAAATTATCAAATCATATTATCGGCTAATTTGAAGAAAATGAAGATATTAGAATTTTTTGTCTTAAACATAAAAACTTATTAGTTATAAAAATATGCACTAATCAAAAATGTGAAAAATAATAACAATTATTTTGTACCTAATGTGTTCATGAAGAAGCACATCATATAAGCTCCTGCAAAAAATATATAGTATCTCTTTTGTTCGGAATATAGCAAATATCTTTACGATTTCAATTTATAAGCCCAGAGAATTCTCATGAAACATACAAATAATACTTCTAATAAATAACTTCTTAATAAGAATAAAACATTAAAGACTTTATAGAATACCTTGAAATTTAAAAAAATAAGCTAAAAAATGATATAGATTTAATAATTTAAACTTTTAATAAATATATGTTTGATATAAAAACAGATTTAGATAGAAAAATGGATGATTAATTAAAAAACTATTAATCGAACTATATATATTTAAAGAAATTATTAGATCAATCGAACGGATCAATATACATAATACTTAGAGAGTTTTCAGATTTTCGGAATATAATTAAAAAAATAAACAATTCAACAATATAGGAAGCCGTGAATTTCTTATTAGAGTTAAAAAGCCATTTAAATATTTATAAAAATTGTGATTATTAATGTGAAGAGCACATAAATAAAATACAGGATTTATATTAACTTCTTTTGAATCAAACATTAAATCCACCGACTTATTAATAGGGAAATTTCAACGATTTTTCATTAAATTCGATTAAACTTTAAGCAGAGTTATTAAGTAAGAAAATAGTTAATTCTATTAATTCAAATATTTTAAATGTTCCTTTATAAAAGTTTTTTATTGAAGAATAAGATAAAGACTAATATTTAGACTCTTCAGCTACTTAAATTGATAAAGAAGCATAAAAATAATAATATGATAATTAAGATAATACAAGAAATAATGATATAAGAACGGAATTAAATATAATGCTTAATTCTATTTAAAGAAATAAACTCTTAAAATTAGATCATAAATCAATTAGCTAAGAAACTGTAAATAAAGATAATTAGTAAAGAAATACAATTAATTATCCAAATATTTTAATGGGATAATAACAACAAGAAGGTTCTATTTTTTTAAAAAAATATAATTTATTTTATTTAACATTATTTATATAAAAAAAGGAATAAAATGCTCATAAATATATTTTGAAAATGGTAAAAAAAATTGTATAATTAAATAACACCATAATAACTTTTTCCTTGAAAAAAGTAATATTTCTAAATCTTTCTAAATTAAAGATAATGTCTGTGTAACTTCTTTAATTGTAATCGCCGAAGATATTGTAGCATTAGCCCTATCAAATAATTACATATAAATATTCCATATTGACACAAATAAGCTTTTATAAGAAATGGAATGTAAAAATTGGATATATACATTAGCATTATTAAAAGTTCCTATAGAAGATTTAAATTAATTTAATAATTTAAAGCCTATAGGACTATAAATACTTGAAAATCCTAAATCTAAAATGGGTGAATATGGTTTTAAATTAGTAAAAATTAAAACGAAAAATTAAAAAATTAAAAATAAAAGTTAGGAGGAAGCGAAAATTCAGTAAAAATATGGGATACAAATTTTCTTCCTGACGAAAAAATATATCCAATAATGGAATTCCGGGTAGAAGGATTTTTCCGTGGACTTTCCCTTTTAGATTTAGAAGATTAACATAACCTAATATGCGGAGATTAAGGAGGTAAAATATACATATGGGACTATATAAGTGAAAAGATAAAATTTAAACTAGAAACCCAAGGATTAATAGTAAGTAAACTAGCCCTAATAAAACAATATGAAATATTTGTATCTTCCCATAAAACAGATTATGAATAAGGCGGAATATTAATATGGAAATTATAATATGAAAATATAAATGATTAATAAGAAATTAATGAAGAATAAACTACTTATTTTATAAAAAATTCATAAACCATTACAGAGAATATAAAAAAGCCAGAAAAAAAGTTAAAGCTGTTATCTTGTATTCTTTTAAGAAGACTAACAAATGCAACAAATGTAAGTAATTTTTTACCTTTGAAAATGAATCCAAATTATATAGTCACAAGTGAGAAAAACCATATCAAATTATGGGATATTGAAAAAGGAAAATTAATAAAAATTATATGTAAATGTGAATCTAAGGTTAAAGATTTGATACTTATAGAAAACGCAGATGTTAAAAATACATACTTTGTGGTTATATTTGCTAATAATTCAGTACTCAAAATGGTTGATTCAAATGAATTTTTGGTAGGTTAATATTAATTGGAAGATTTTCCATGTAGTTTATGTAATAAATATTTTCATGGGACTAAAATGTCATTTTTTGATACTTAAGATGGATAAGTTTATGTTATTTTACCAAGACATAAGCATAGTTGTGAACATTTTAATGAAAACTTAAGTTTATAGAATCAAAAAGAGACCTAGGGATAAAATTTTAAAGATATTTAATAATAGGTTAATTAATAAAAAGGATTAATTAAAGGAACTTAAAGATGTAATCTAACTACTTAAATTTAAATAGATGGAATTAATATTAAAATTGCTAAAATATTAAAAAGTCAATTTTGATATTTTTTTTTTTTAATATATATGTATTTTAATTATATTAATTGTTTTAATTCATACTATTTTTATTTTTGAAATCAATATAAAATTAAAAATATAATATAATAATTATCTAGTTTCCTAAATATTTTAGTCCTATATAATAAAAAAATGACTTATTTCCTAAATTTTATTGTTCTATATAATAAAAAATTAACTTATTAAACAAATAATTAAATATTTTATAAAAATAAATACCATTATTTATTATAATTATAAATAAAATACCAGATAAATTATAAAAAAATAAATATATATTTATTTTCTTTACCAACCAAATAATTATAATAAAAAATCAAATAATGTCATAAAGATAAATTCTTAGCATAAATAGTTATAAACCTGATAGATTATCATAACCAAGTAAACCATAACCCAAAAACTAGCCAAATAATGAAATAGAGACACGCAAAGAGATAACAATCCAAAACATCCAACATAAAATTTAAAACGAGAACAAATATTTAATAGAATAATTCCAAAATGAATTAAAAGACCCCATAACAAGTCAATTTAAGTCAATATTTGAAATCTAAAATTACTAAGATAATTCCAAATACCTAGGAAATGTTAAAAATTATCTAAGAAGTGGAATCGGTATATATTATTATACAAACGGTGACATATATTTTGGAGAGTGGGATAATGATTTATTCCATGGAAGCGGTTGTTATATTTTTTATTCAGGAGAAAGATACCAAGGGTAATTTTCTAAAGGTAAAAAGGAAGGAGAAGGTACATACGTTTATTTTAATGGAAATACATATCAAGGTTAATGGCAAAACGATCTAAAGCATGGAAAAGGAACATATAATTGTCTATCTTCAGGTGAAAAATACGAAGGAGAATGGTAAAACGGGGAAAAGGAAGGATACGGTGTTTATTATTATTCCTATGGGGATAAATACGAAGGTTAATGGTCTTAAGGATTAAAAAATAAAAATGGAATTATTTACTATTCTTCCGGAGGTGAATACGATGGATAATGGAAAAACGATAAAGTCCATGGGAAAGGAATTATGATTTGTCAAAATAAAGATCAGTATTAAGGAGATTTTAAAGATGGCCAAAAGTCTGGTTTTGGTGTTTATATACATGTAGATGGATCTAAGCATTAAGGCTTATGGAATAATGATGAAAAAAATGGATTTGGTACTATGTAGTATTCTAACGGAGATCTTTATGAAGGAAATTTTGTTAACGGATAAAGAGATGGACAGGGAACCTATTAATATGCTAATGGAGATATTTATTAAGGTTTCATTCTTTTTTTTGTTTTCTTTTTTTATTTATTATTATTAGGTTAATGGAAAAATGATGTAAAAGAAGGATTCGGAACCCTTGAAATGAAAACTTAAGATAGATATGATGGAGAATGGTAAATTTCTATATGAAAATAATATTTTTGAAATGTATTTTTTAAAAAAGGTTTTAAGGTAAAAAAAATGGGCATGGAAGATATACATTTTCTACTGGTGATACATACGATGGATATTTTATTAGTGGACTTAGATAAGGACATGGGATTTATACTTGGGTTGATAAGTCTTATTATAAAGGAGAATGGGAATAAGTATAATATTTATTTAATTTCAATATATTTATTTATATTAATTATTAAAAGGATAGAATAAATGGTATAGGAGTATATGTAACTCCAGATAATAGAAAAATTAAAGGTTACTTTTAAAATGATCACTTTGTTTAAGAGATATGAGAGAATAATAAAATTGTTTATATATTTATTAGAATTGTTTTTTAAAGTATATCAAAAAAACAATATATATATATATATATCTATATATGTAATGTATTTAAATATTTATTTTTTTATAGCTTTCTTTTATTTCTCATATTAAAAAATATTAACATTTAAAAATAAATATTTGTCAAAAAGCATCGATGGTTTAATGGTAGAATAGAGCGTTGCCATCGCTTTGACCCGGGTTCGATTCCCGGTCGATGCATTTTTTTATGTTATTTTTTATTTAGAAAAATATATATAATTAATTATAATTTAAGATTTATCAATAATTATATTTATAAAATTGTGATATAATTATAAACAAATAATGCTAAAATATAATTAATATAAAAAAAAATAGTATTTTAATTTATATTTATTTAGTTAAGCAATATGATAAAATTTATATATAATTATAAGTTTTTATTATTATTTAAAAAATCTTATTAAAAATAAAATTAATAAAAACTGTATGTATTGAGATAATTATATAAAACAAAAAATTATTACTTTTTTTTAAAAATAAAATTATAATTAAATACATATTCATTAACAAATTTCTTATAAAACTCTATACTTTACAAGGGTATTATATTTTTATATTTATTAATAAAATGGGACATTTTTTTTAGATATATTATGTCAAACCAGCTAATTATTTATTTATTTGAAAAATTTTTTTTAAAAAAAGTTATATAAATATATATATATATATATATTTAAATTACTTTTATCTGTTTTTTAATTAATTATTAAGTAAACTGATTTTAAATTTTTGTATATTAAACATTTTCTTATATTTACTCTCCTTATGATTTCAATGAGAAATACTTAAATATTCATCATCATAAATATTCTCTTATAATAAAATTTAATTATTTTTATTTTTATATTTTTTAAATATTTGATATTGTTGTATATTATTCGAATTATTGGGTTTTACTCTGTATAGTTATTTTAATTTTTTTAATTTGATTTTAAAGTTAAATTTTTTCATTTTTTTATAAATATGTTATATTATAAAGAGTATATTTATTTTTTAATTTTATTATAAATAAATTTATTTATTTTTCATTTTCATTTTTAGTAAAATAATTGAATTAATATATATTTATAATTAATAAAAATATTTAAAATCTTGACTAACGAAATATAAATAAAATTTTGAAATAAATAAAATTCTAATAAAATATAATTAAAATTTTTAAAATTATATAATAGATAAACATATGTCAAAACCTTTAAATATTTATTTTAATAATGATATTATTTGATTTTTCTTAAAATAATTTTTATATAAACATATAAAAAGTAAATATTTATTTATAAAACATACAAAAGTATATAAAATTAAAGATTATAAAAATAGAAAAAACAAAAAAAACAAAAAAATTAAAAAAAAAAACAAAAAGCCAAATAAAATTAAAAAAAAAATAAGAAAAAAAAATAAAAGTAAATAATAAAAATGAGCATTAAAACCGGAAATAAAAGAAAACAACTTTTTAAAATAATTATTCTAGGAGATTCAGGGTAAAAACTATATAAAATTAAAAAATTACATATATATATATATTTATAATAAAATATATAGAGTAGGTAAAACATCTTTAATGAACTAGTAAAAATAAAAAAAAACAACAGATAAATATTTTTAAAAACGCCAAAAAAAAAAAAGAGATATGTAAATTCTCGTTTTACATAATAATATAGAGCAACTGTTGGTGCTGATTTTATGGCAAAAGAAGTAATGATAGACGATAGAATGGTCACATTATAAGTATTTAAAAAAATAAATAAAATAAAATAACAAAAAAATTAAATAAAGATATGGGATACGGCTGGATAAGAAAGATTTTAATCTTTAGGAGGTGCTTTTTATAGAGGAGCAGATTGTTGCGTATTAGTATATGATATTACAAATAAAAAAGTAAATATTTTTGTTGTTGTTGTTAATTTAATTATTTATTGTTTTTTTAAATAAAATTAGAGCTTCGAAAGTCTTGAAAGTTGGAAAGAAGAATTTAAATAATAAGGATAACCAAAAGATCCTGATAATTTTCCTTTTGTTGTTTTAGGAAATAAATGTGATAGAGCGTCAGAAAGAAAAGTTGAATCTGATTTCGCAGTTTAATGGTGCAAATCACATGGAGATCTTTAACATTTTGAAACATCTGCAAAAGAAGATACAAATGTAAATTCAGCTTTTACAGCTATTGCTAAATCAGCTGCTTCATAATCATAAGATGAGGAAATGTAATTATATAATAAGAATTTTTTTTTTTTTTTTAATTATTTTTATCAAATATATATATATTTTTTTTTAAAAAAAAAAAAGATTTTTCCCTTAAAATAATGTAGTATTAAAATAAGATTAAAAATCTACAAAAAAATAATAAAGTGATTGCGCATGTTGAAAAAAAAAAATATTAATTTTTTAAATATATAAAAAAATTAAATCAAATAAATAATTTAATTCAATTAAAACTTTTTAAACTAAAAATAAATATATATAATTCTATTTATATTTTTCTAATTTTTATAAATAAAATTAAAAGCTCTTTCATTTAAAAATACTAGTTTTCTTTATTTTAACTTCGTTATTTTAAAGTTAATAAAAATAAACATCAACTTATTTTTCTTTAATTTCCAAAACCATAAAAGAAGGTAAAGGATCTCTTTTTTTTAAAATAATAAGAATATATTATTAATAATTTCAATAATAAAATATTATATATATATATATATATATATATATAATATATATATATATATATTTATTTAAACTTTTTTTTATAATAATACAAAATTAAATTTATTAGAATACTTTTTTAGAGGACTGAATACTCCTGTAATAGACCCAGGATTAAGAAAATGCTTTTATTCATATTTATTTGTTTTATATTCATGTGTATATCCACTAATAAAAATATCAGAATCATATTCTCTTAATTAATTATAAATTCCTTCTTCAGTCCCCCAAGGAACGACCTTTTTATTAATTATTATTTTTTTTTTTTTTTTTAAAAAAAAAAATATACTTAATAGCCATTAATTAATGAAAATTTGAAATTTCTTATATTGAATGAAATTTATTCATTTAATTCACTTTTTGCCTTTGAAATAATTAATTTAAAATAATTTTTAAAAAATAATTTTTACATCATCTTAATCACCTTTTACCATATATATTACTTATGCTAAGCTTTTAATCCAACTATAAGTTTCTTTCGATTTCCCTACATTACCTGTGCATATCACATATTAAACTTTATTCGGAGTCTTTTTTTAAATATAAAATTTTTTAATCAAATTTAAATTGCTTGAAAAAAAGTTAATTTGTAAAAAAATTATTTATAAAAAATAATAACAATTAATTCTTTAAATTATTAAGGAATTTCATGAATTTTTCCTGGGATATGGAAATCCCCAAAAACTATAGCTAACTATTTATTTTAATATAAATTAATTTACTTTTTATTGAAATAATACTATTTTTAATTTACTTCTCCTTCACCATCTTCAAAATTATCATTAACTAGATCAGTCATTTTTTCAAAATATAAATAAAAAAAAAAGAATAATATATTTTTTTGTAAAAAATAAATTATTTTTACAAAAATATATTAAAAATAAACTATTAACTAATTATAAAAATTAATATCTTTTAAATTATACATATTTTTATAAATCAAAAATGAAAAAAATAATAATAAATAACTATATTATTCTTGCAAGTTTCACAATTACAATTTTATCAAATACAAGGATAAAACATTTGATTTGATAATTTAAAATATAGAATTATTCGAATGAATTTATAAGCAATAAAGGCTATTTATATATAATCATTGGGCAATATTTATTAATAAAAAATTGATAATATTAAATAAATATATTAAAAATCCAAATAAAAATTGTTTACAAGAATTAAATGGAACAGTATAACAGGCAAATATATATTCGAAAAAGGCTATATTAACAATAATTGTTTATTAAAATTAGATATAATATAATATAATCCACATGTTTAAAATTCGAAAGACAAAATAACAAAATATTTATATTTTCAAATATCAGACCAATTATTTTTCAAATTCTCAAATCTTATATAAACTTTTATATAAAAAGAACATGAAAAAAAGCTTAAATTTAATAATTATTTGCTTCATGTCAAAAAGATTATCACAAAGAAGTATTGTAGAAAAAAAAATGCAAACCTTCAATTTATTTGTAAATGAGAATATAAAAATAAAGGTAAAATGTTAGTTAAGATAATTATAGTTTTATCAAAAAAAACTGGAAAATAAAAAAAAAGTAATAATAAACTATATAGAAAATATACAAATAATTTAAAAATAAAAAAAAATAGATATAAAATATTGTATGTATATGTATAGGTTAATTAAAGAATTATTAAAATTTATAACAATAAAAAACTAAAATATGAATATAAAAAAAAAAAAATGCAATAGAGTATTAAATAAAAAATTTATATTATTATAAAAAAAAAATTAAAAATTAAAAAAAATTGATAATAAAAAATAATGTCATATTAATTAATATAAATTAGAAATATTTAATTATAAAAAATAAATTGATAAAATTATTAATATTAATAATAATAATAATAATAATAATAATATAAAATAATAGTAATAATTATAATAAATAGATAAAAAACTTATTTATAATTATTAATAATTCAAAATATAATATTATAAATTTTATATATTTATTTTTATTATTATAAATTATATATTTTTTTCTTAAAAAATTATATATAAAATTTATATTGCATGCTATTATTATATAAAAATAAATATATGCTGTAATCTCATTTTCTCAATAGGATTTATTTTATTTAAAGCTAATTATAAAAATAAAATATTTTATTTATTTTTATTTTAATCTGTATTTTTATTTTATATTAATTATACTTTTATATTATATATTTTTCATAAAGATATCTATGTTATTTTTCAGATATATTTAATATATTAATATTGAAGTCTTTTTATTTTTTAATTAAACTTTTTTTATGAATATTGTGGATTTTATATACTATTTTAAAAATTGTTTATTATTTTTTTGTTAATTACAAAATAATTATTTATATATAATAAAATTTATTTGATAAATAAAAAAATAAGATTTATATATTATTATTATTATTGAATTAATTATTATTTTTTTAATGTAAATTTTATAATATTTATTAATAAGATTTTTTATTATATATATAATATTAATACAATATTTTTATTATGAATATTATTATATTTTTAATAATGACCAAACATAAAAAAAATCAAAAGAAAAGAAAAAATAAATATTAAAATAAAAAAAAATAAGGAAAGAAAAGAAAAGTGTAAATATTTTCTTATATCATAAATTATGATAATTAAATAGAAACTAATATAAAAAAAATTATCTATTTATTTAATATAGTTTTAATAATAAAGTATATTGAACGAACAGTCTTAATAATGTTAGAATTTATTAAATAGCTTCCTGTTTGAAAACAAAGATAAAGACTATTATTTTTTTAATTAAAATAAAAAGAATAAGGATATAATATTAAAAGCATTAACAGAACTTATAGTAGAAGAGAAAGAAAAAATAATGAAATAAATTTAATAAAATTATAAAAGCTAATTTAACAAAGATTTATAGGTTTGAGAAAATTGATAAATAGAAAAAATAAATTAAAAATAATATTTTTTTGTATTATATTTTAAATATTAAGGTTTTTTAAGATAATAATTCATAGCATGTTTAATTAAACAAAAAACAATCCAAATACAAATTAAAAAAGCTTATTTAAAATGAAAAGTAATAAAAATATATTTAAGACAATATTAAATATAATAATTTAAAAAATAAAAAAATATTGATACAAACTAATATATAAAAGTTAATTAAAAAATATTGAAATTACAAATAAAATCAAAGAATCAAATAAATAATAAAAGTAAAATTAAAACATCAAAACATTATTTTCAAAATTAAACATTATATTTATAAGATTAATATACAAATTTTAATATTTACATTATGCTTTTTTTTTTAAAAAAAAAAAAATCAAATATTATATTTATATTTAAGTGCTTATTAATGTTAAGTACCTGAATTAAAGCAAATTAAACAAGAAATTTAAATAAATCAATAAAATATTAAGAAAGTTCCTAATCTAAAATGTAAAAAATAAATAAAAATAGATATTCTTTTTTTATAAAGTAGGCAAAAGTAATTCAAGTAAAGGAATGTAAAAAATATAAATATTAGAAAAAAATAAATATTTATTATTTATTTTATTTTATATTATATTAAATTTCTATTTTAACAAAAAAATTAAAAGCATTAGTGAAGAAAGACTGTATAAAATTTATTAAAATAAAATGAAAATATATAATAAAAATTCAAACCTAAACTAATACTGAAAATAAATTTAAATAATTAAAATAATAAAAGTAAATTAAAATTTTATATAGAAACATAGAAATTTAATATTTTTGATGATTCTATTTAAAAATTTTAAAATGAAAATAATGATAACCAATAAGATTCATACAAAACAAAAACTTATTTTTATAACGTTTTTGGAAAAATAAAAAAAGGAATTATAGATAATAAAACGTTATCAAATAAAATACAATCTTTTTTCGATAATTAAGATAATGAATTAGCAATAATTTAAAAAATAGAAAAAATTGAAAAATAAGAATAAACAAAAAAAATAAATGACGTATTTAATAATATGTTTATTTAATTTAAATTTTATGAAAAAAAGAAATAGAAATAAAATGTAAAATATTTATGTTTATATTGTTTGGGAGATACGTGTGAAGATTTTTGTAAATAAACTCCTTGTTATAAATGTTGTTAATTAGGCCATAAATATATTTACTGTAAATTATAAAGTAAATAAATATGCGGTAAATGTAAAAAGCATGGACATAATACTGATTAATGTAACATTATTACATGTTTTATAAAAAAGGGTTATTTTAATTTCACAACCCACATTCTCTAGAAAAAATTTTAAAAAATAAAATGCTTTAAATGTGGTGAAAAAGGACATATAAACTGTTAATAAATATAAATAGAGGATGACGTTTATAATGAAATATGAAAAAAAAATAAAAAAAAATAGATATTGTGGAAAGTAATATATTTAATTAAAGCATTTTAAAAAAAAAAATTTGGATATTATATATATTTATATATAATTATACTTAATATAATCAAATCCACAATGTAAATATTTCAGACATTTATTGTTTTTTTAAATTTATTTATTATTAATAAAAATAAAATATTAATATTTATATGTTTTATCTTATTTATAATTAACTCCAACAACTGTTTTTTGTTTCAAAATATTTTTAAAAAAGATAATATTTTGTTTAAGTAAGATTACTCTTCGCCTTAAAAATTTTTAATAACAATATTTTCAGAATCACATTCATAAAAATTATTAATAAAAAAGATATTTCTATAAGAGTTTATTTAATTCTAAGCACATTATACACTTTATAAAAATTAGCATTATAACATTTCTTTAGATTAGCTAGTTTATTAAGAACAGTTTTAAGATACACATTTACTCAACTACTATTAAAATTAATTCCAATTTTTATTATTACTATATTATTATTTAGCTAATTCATTATATTAATTTCCACAATTTTATAAAAATTGATTAGTGCTGCAATAGTTTTCAGTACATTTTAAATATTCAATAAGTTCTTAATGCTATTCTGCATGAGTTCTACATTCTTAATAACACTCTAAAGGTGACTTAGTACATGTTTTTTAAACACATTGATTTAAATTTTTATAAGCTTATAAACATGAAGAATTTTAATAACATTTAAAATAATGCTCAAAACACTGTTAAAATTTACATTTTAAGTGAGCAAAAGTGTTTTCAGAATATATTTATTGAAAGCTTATAAATAGAATCAAAATAAAATAAATTCGTTTCATTTTTCTTGTTTTCTTTTTTATAATGGAAAATAAATAATTTTGTATTATTATTTTTTATTTTAAAACTATATGAAACAATTATTTATATATTTATATTTAAAGTTAATTAAAATTCGTTTGACTTTATTTTATTAAGAATATTTTTATAAATAGTAATATATTATTTTTAACTTCTTATAATATTTGAATTAATTTTTTATTAAATAAAAAATATAAAAGTGATGATAATAAAAATCATTTAGATAAGTTTTTAATTCATTTTAACTAAATTAATTCATTTTAACTAAATTATCAATTCATTTGGTTAATAACTTTTTTGGTAATTTATTTTAAATGCTTAATCGTCAATAATAAATGTGAGTAAAAAAAATCAATACTGGCCTTTTTTTAATTTTTTTAAAAAAAATAAGTTAATAAATAAGAAAATTTATAAACAGGTAATACTATATAAATAATAAAATCACAAATTAAAATCATTATAAATATAATAAAATAATATTTATAAAAATATTATAATTAATCATCCAGACAATTAAATTGCAGATATATGTGTTAATAATTAATGCACGATATTTATGGCAATAATGCTTAAATGAAATGCTCATACCTATATTACAAAATATATTTTAATAATTATTAACTGGTATATAAAATAAAAAAATGACTTTTAGTAAATTTAGAAAGTTTTTCTTAATTTTAATCCGAAATTCTAAAAGATTTACATTCACCTTATCATTCTAATTAAGAATATAATTTAAATATTTAGCTATTTCTTCTTCTAGGCTATTTATATTATTTCTAATTCTGTTTCAAAGTTCTTTAATAGAAGACTCTTGAAAACTTGCGTATAACTTATTTGATTTTATTATAGTTTTTATAAACAATGTAGAAATGTATTTAGAACTGATTTTATTTTATTTATTTTAATTTTATTCTGACGCTCAAATTAAATGATACATCTTAAAATATTTCAATTAAATGTATTATTTTCATCTATGTTAATCCAATTAATTTATATATTTTATTAAAATAAGAAAAAAATTGTAAAATAGACTTAAATTTATAAATATAATATTTTTAAATTTTCTTTGTTTATTACATATTTACTTAAATACTTTCTAACACTGTTAAATACTATTTTTGTATATACACTGGCACATTTCCTTATTTTTATTATGATTTAATATATCTTTTTAACTTAATTATTATGATTGTCTCATTCTTTTATATAAATACCTAAAATTAATCATAAATTTTTACACTTTATCTGTTAGTAAAGTTGCTTTCATTAAATTATGAATAGTATATTATAAAGTTAGTCATAAAAAAAATACTTTTCAATATTAGAAAATTTAAATTTTCTCAGAAACACCATCACTCATGATAAACTTTCTATATACATTATATTTTTTATTTCATTTATTAATAAAATAATAATTAAATATAATTTATTTTTTATATTGAAAAATATTTTCCATTGTAAATTTAAATTTTGAACACAAATAGATTCTTAAAAATATAAAATTAAAAAAGACAATATTGATGTTCATAAATCAAATCTAATTGAATAGCTAGTTATTATAATTAATATAAAGTATTATTGTATAAAGAAAAAACATATTTCTAATTACTTTTGAAAATGTAAACTATATTTAGGATATAATACTTAAATTAAAATTAAAACCTTAATTTTATATTATTGATATAGGCTAAATGTCTTTAAATATAAACATAAGAATATAATATATATATTTTTTTTAAGGTTTAAAGATGTTTTATTTTTAAATTATTTAATTTTGCTTTAAGTGTACATATTATTTAAAAAATTATTATGATATATTTTTCAAGTATTCTTTATATTCAAATTAATAATTATTTACAATCATCAAATTAAGTTGATGAATTTAAAATTCCTCTTTAAAATTAAAATAACTAAAATAATATAATAATTTTTTAGTTCTTTGTATTAAAAAATACAATTGAAGTATTTATTACATAATAATAGTTTTTTTTAAAAACAAAAAAAACATATAATAAAATTATTTTTAGATTTATTAAATATATTTTTTTTTATTAATATACATAATGTATTTTAAAATAATAAAAATTATAAATACTATAAATTATATATTTTCATAATATTTGAATATATATAAAAATATAAATAAATATTAATTTAACTAATCCAATTATATAAATTTATATTTTTTTATATGCAAATGAAAATAATTTGTATTATACAAATATTTTTCCATCTCTGAAATAGTTTAATAAGTGTTTATTTTTCAATCTTAAAATTTAAAATCTTGAGTTTAATACATAAATTAATTAAAATACTTAAAACTCTTTAAGAATCTGTTTAAAAAATTAAATTTGTAGAAAATTATATTAGATTGATGATTTTTACTTTATTTTGAGAATCGAGATTATAAATCAAGAAGGGAAAACAAAAGTTCATTTACTATTTATTAATAAAATTATTTTTCGTAAATTACTTTAAATAGACATATATTCTATATATTTATAAAAATGAAAATATTTAGTATATATAATTAATTTAATTTTATATTTTTATTGTTATAATTAATAAATATAAATATCTTATTTAGAAATTCAATTTTAATTAATTTGAATTTTATTTATATAGTTTTTTAAAAAATAAATATAAAATTAATTCTTTATATTTATTTTCTAGATATAAAATAGTCAAAATAAAATTAGAAAAAAAACTTATTCATAAATAAATCGAAATACTATATTTAAATACTATTGATAGTAATAATATAAATAGTATTGATTTCAAATAGTCCTAAAATAAAAAAAAAAAATAACATGAATACAATTTCCAACAATAATTAAAATATAATTGAAGAATAGAAGTCTTCGAGTTTTACAAATAAAAAATTTAGTCCATTTTTAGAGTTTCCATAATATACAAGTGAATAATATCAAAATCAAAGTATATTAAAATCTTAGATATAAGATACAAAGAATGAATTAGATTATTTGACATGCCCAATATGCCTAAATATATTATGGAAGCCAATATCGTGTTAAGAATGTACTTAATCATTTTGTAGTTTATGTATATCTAAATGGCTGAAAACTAAAAAATAATAAAGAAACAATTCATCAATACATAATAATGACGAAAGTATAAATTAATAAAATGAGGAAGACGATGATTAAATATTATTTCATAATTAATAATAATAATAAAATATAGCAGATATAACATTTGGATATTAATAATAAATATAATAATCATTTTCTTCATAAGTTTAATTATTTTAATAAAAGAGACCTTTAAATGAAGAAAATAATAAGAATTGTCCTCATTGTAATAAAGATTTTAAAGAAATAAAAGTTCCTTTAATAAAAAAGCTTTTGGCATCTTTAAAAATAAAATGTTTTTATTCCAAAAGTGGATGTATCGAAATCATTAGTTATGATTAATATGAAAAACATTGCCTTAAATGCTAATTTTAAAGTATAAAATGTGAAGGTTGTTAATAATAAATATTCTTGAAAAATTATTAAGAGCATAAAGAAACATGTGAATAAATAAATATAAAATGTGAAAAGTGTGCGTTTGAAATTAAAAGGAAGTTTTATTTAACAAATCATACATAAATATACTGTATAGAATAATAATTATTACAAAAAAATGATTTTCTAAATTAATAATAAAATTAATTAAATGAATAAAAAAATTCTATTTAAAAAATTCAAAACTAAATCTAAAATATTCTTGAAGGAAAAATTCAAACTATTAATATTTTTATTTTCTCTACATATTTTAACAAATATTTCAAATTTTAAAATAATAAAATCACATTAGAAAAAGACTCTTATAACGAAATGAAGAAAAAAAGAGACTTTTTGCATTTTTTTATTAATGAAACCTTCTTCCTAAATTCTTTATTTGTTTTTGTTTGGAAAATAAAAATACTTAAACTTTAAGGTAATATGAACATAGGAATTACTAATATTCAAGGAAAAAATTCGGTTGATTATATAATTAATAAATAAGGTGATTTAAAGAAAAAAGAAAAATTAGATACTAAATACAAATTAAAAGAAAATTAAAAAGAATTTTTTTATAATGAAAATGATACTATATAAATAAAATATATTCCTTTTAAATATACTATAGAATTATATAATATAGATTAAAATGTATATTTTCGTTTTGATTAAAAAATTCTTTTTGAATTTTAAAAATAATTCTTTTTTTTCTTTTCTTTAGATTATTAAGGCGACTCATTGCTTTTTTTACCTAATTGAAAATATTTAAATCAATTAAAAACAAAACAAAAAAGTATTATTATAAATAAACTATTTTATTTTGTGAGTTTTAAAAGCATTAGTATTTGATAATTTTAATATACTTATATAATTAAAAAAAAAAAATTATAAAATTTGTTATATTAATTTAAATTATTTATTCATTTTTATATATCTTCTTCTATTAATATAGAATTATGCATAAATCTTGAGAATTTCATATTTTGAATAATTTCCCATTTATCTTCAACTAAATTATATCTTATCAAATTAATAAAAATTAAATAAAAAAAATAAAAAAATTACCTTTCAACTGAATTCAAAGGTACATTATCAAATCCTCCAAACACATATATATATTAATTATCTTAAGATATAACTGCACTCAAAGTACATCTAGGATTATTCATATTACTTATATAACTCCATTAATTTAATGATTCATCATATTTTTCTACTGAACATAAATAGTTAGTTCCATCAAACCCTCCAATAGCATAAATTCCATCTGGTAAAGTAACCGCACATAAAGCTCTCCTGGGTGTATTTAAAGATGCAATAGTTTACCATTTTTCAGTTTAAAAATCATATCTTTCTACAGTTTTTAAACAAATATTATTTTTTCCTCCAAAACCACCTATAGCATATATTCTTTTATCTAAACCTTATGCTATAGCTAATTCATCTCTTTTTTCGTTCATATTTTCTAATTTTATAACACTTAAATTATTTAAATCATATAATTCTGTTGAATATTAAATACTTTATCCATCATTCCCACCAACAACTATTATTTTATCTTTTTTTTTTATTTTTATTAGTAATTTTTTTTTTATTACTATCTCCTAAATTTAATACTCCGAAACCACTTTTTGGAGAAGTTAGGCTAATATTACTTGATTATATAATATTTTATTATAAATTGAATTCTTCGCATTATGAAACTCTTAATCCATTCTTTATTTTTTAATTAAAAAAAAAATTAAATTTAATTTATATTTACTTTTTTTCCTCCCATTATTAATATGACTTTATTATCTAATTAAACAACTGAAAACTTTGCTCTATTTATGTCTAAATTATATACTTAATCCCAATTATTTTATTAAATATCGTATCTTTCTATTACATTTATATTATTTTCTACAAACCCTCCAAATACAAATATATAATCTTTAGGCTATTAAGAATTAACTATAGAGAAATCTAACTATTTATATATATAATTAATAATTTTTTATAAATATATATATTATTTTTTACTTTGTTAATATATGTGTCTGTTGTTTCACTTTTAAATGATTTCAAAAAGTTGTTATTTATTTATTATAGAATATTATTATTTTCAATATCATCTTCATTTAAAATAAACTAAAATTATTAATCATCATCATCGAATCTTTTATTATATTTAAATTGAAAATATGGAACAAAAATAATTAAATATTACTTGCTATGTTATATAGGAAAGAATATAGAATTGCAAATTTAATTTTTTTTTTTAATAGTATTGTTCATAATACTTTTTGCTACATCTTTTTGTGGAGTTAAACTTAATTAAGAAATTTTATTAATTTAATCTTATTTTTAATAAATATTTTTTATTTTATTTTATTTTTACTAAAAGATTTATCAAACTAATTTTTGTAATTTTAAGGAATTTATTTTTAGTCTATTTTTTTCTTATAATAACTAAATATTAATTTGTTTAGATAGAAATTTATATGAAAAATAAAAAATTATATATTTTTTTTATTTAATATTTACTAAAAAGGAATATTTTCATTTTCTTTAATTTAATTTTTTTTACTATATGTAGTTTGTATAGGACTTTACTCTTTTTGCTCCTTTTACATATTCTTACTATATGTTGAGCTTTTTTATAATTATTTATTATGCTTAACTCTTAAATAAATATATATATATATATATATATATATTATCTTAATAAAAATAAAATAAAATTTTATATATTATTACATATTATTAGAATTATTTGAATAATTTTATAAAGTATTTTGTTTTCTTACGAAAGTGTTTTTATTTTAAGAAATATCCTATTTTTTAAAATTGCTAGTTAAAGTTTTTTATTAAAGTTAGTAAATCATGCCATTAATATTTTTTAAAAATAGTTATAATTCCTACTCTTTATTAAAGTAATTATTAACTTAATTTAATTTCACTCCTTCTAAACTTTACCTTGGATTTTTTATTAATTTTATTATTTTTTCATTCTAATTAAGGGTAGTTAAATATTCAATATCCTACATAATTTAATGCTTTTAAAAAAATTATTTGAATGATAAAAAATCTTTAGAATATTCTTAATAATAATTATCAATATTTTTTAAATATTATTATTCATTAAATAATTATTCTTAAAATTTTCTTTTTAAATCACTTTCTCGCTCATTTATATATTTTTTTATTTCATTAAAAAAGTTATTTACTTCGCCTAATTAATAAATAATCTTTTTTTTAAAAATAATAATAATAATAACATAATTAATAAATAAAATGTACTTTCTATTCAAAAAGGTTAACGCTTTTATTTATTTGTTCAATAACGTTCTAATATTTTTCGTCTTAATTTTTCGCATACTAATATATTTATAATTATTCATGTTTATTTCTTTAAACAGTATTATAAATAGAATCAATTTAATGTTATTTATGTCCATCATGTAATATACAATTAATGCATAATAGCTTTTTATCATCTTCACAATAAGCTGTAAATATATTTTTTTTATAAATAATTATTAATATTACCTTCATATATTTTCTAATGTTTATTACAAATTTAGTCTTTATTAAAATCAAAGCTTGAGCTTTCACTATTAAAATTTTCGAAAGTTTTTTAATTTTCATTTATACTTTTATATCTTTATTTATTTACATTTATTAAAGCTATATTTTTAGGAAAAAAACTTATTTTCAAAGCAACATTTTTATAATTACATTCTGGACATATTATACAATCATTATTATATAAATCGTTTGTACACATATCACATATTGAGTGTCCACATTATATTAGTAATCTTGGAAATTTTTCGTTTTCATTATACTAATTTTTACATCTAAAGCAATCCATTTTTTGTTTGTCTTGTCTTTTTTGTTTTTTGTTCTTTTAGATTTATTCGTTAATTAAAAATTTAAATTAATATAAAGCGAATAATATATTTTTGTTTAAACAATAAAATCCTCTTAATATATTTTTTTCGATTAATGTTAATTAATGATTTATAATAAATTTTAATTAAAATATCTAAATAAGATAAGAAACATATGTATCAAAAAAATAAATATTTATATTATAATATATATATATATATATATATATATATATATATATATATTAGCTAAAAACTAAAAAACAATATTTTTTGAATTTATCTTATTATATCATATTTACAAATTATATAATATTTTAAAATTTTATGAACTTAAAAATTGTTTGACAAAATTTTATATATATAATTAATACATAAAAAAGTATATAAAAACAAGAAGATAAATTCAAAATATAATCTTTACAGGAGTATAAGGCCTCTTTTAATCTTTAATTTAGTTATTAAGTAACTTTTCTAAAACAGAATCTTCATTTTTAATAATTTTAAATAAATTATTAGTATTAATTGCAGTATATTATTAAATACTTTTATTTTACTCAGATTTATTCAAAAAAATAATATCTTCTTTATTTTAAAAAGGGCGTATTTATTTTAGTTTAAAATTTAATTAATCTAATTTCTTAATAGAATTATTAATTGTACCTTTAACTTAATTAAAATCGAATAAATTTTATTTGTATTATTTCTCTTCGTCTTTTAAATTTATCATTTTAAAATTTTGAATTTCCATATTACTTATAGCTTATTCTAAATCTTAACTATATTATTTATTATTTTCTTTTATATTTTCTACTTTTTCGTTACTTGTATATTTAAAAGATTTTATTGGATTTGCACTAGTATTAATAAAGTTTGATGTAAAATTATTTTATTAGTTTTAAGTAAAAAAATTATCTTATTACTAACTTTATTAATTTTTTATTATTTATTTTACATCGCTAATTGATTTGTTCTAAGAGTTCTAACTAAAAATACTAGTATTATTTTAATTCTCGCTTTCATTCTTTATTTTATAATTGTTTTATGTATCATTATTATTATATTTCTATTAAGAATTTTAACCAGAAATTTAATTTATTTGTTCATTTTATTAATAATTACTAATTGGTGGTATTTTTGTAATAATTTAATTTTCAATTTCTTCTTTTTAATTATATTTAAAGATTTTATTTTATTAATTGTTTTCAGTTTTCTTTATTATTTCAGCAAAATTTTAATCATTTTATTAAGAATTATCAATATATTAACTTTTAAATTATATATGATCAAATAAGACTTTTCTTGCTGTATTTTATTAAGTTTTATTACTTTATTTTATTATTTCTTAAAACGAATGTTCAGTTTTTGATTATTATCTTTTATTTTAAACTTTTTATTTATTTTTTTTATTAAAAATATACTAAAATATATAATACTTATATTATTATTATAATTTTAAAAAAATTATTCATAATTTTCATCTAAACTTAATTTTTATTATTTAAATTATTTTAATAAAATCTAATATTCTTTGCAAACCTTTTTACTCTAAATACTATTACTTTCATCAAACTTTTATACATTTTATTATTTAAAATATTTATTTTCGACATACTTTGGTCTATTTTTTGTTTATGGAGAATAACAATTACTATATAAACTTAAATAACCTTATTAACTTTGATTTATCTTTTAATTAAAATTTTACATTATATATTCTTCTTAATAGCTTCGTATTACACTTTTATATCAGCATATTTACTTGGATGCTTATAATTTTCTTATTTTTAATATTGAAACATATATTTTATAAATTATTAATACATATTAAACTTAAAGGAAAGCCTGTCCCACTTTTTATTATTTTTATTAAAAAGTTTCCTTCAAAATATCCATAAATATATTTGTTTTCTTTTATCATATATTAAATTCCTATATTTATTAAGTATTTTTTTTATAAACAAAATAAATATGTAAAATACCAAATTTAAAACTATTTTTCTAAAAAATCCCATCATTTAATATATTTTAAACTATTTGAGTACCTAATCCATTTAAGTATTTACCCTTATAAAAATTAAAAGATTATATAAAAAAATAAAATACTTAAAAATATCCTTTTTAAATTGGTTAGTTTTTAAAATTATGAATAATTCCAATGCCTTCAGATTAACTTCCGGAAAAATTAGTAACTCCTACATACCAAAATCCATTTTGCATATCAATAATTCGGAATTTTTTAGAATTTTATGAAAAATTACTAGAAGAAATTATTTCTTTAATTATTTATTTAAGATTTTTAATTTATTAAAATTATTAACAATTAATAGAATTTTATTTATTTATTTTATTCTAATTTTTATTTTCTTCTTATTTTTAGTTGTTAAAAGAGATATTTTATTCATTATCAATTATGCATATTATGTGAGTTAATTTATTTCTGTGAAAATATCCTAATATGGAACACCCATTCTGAAAATAAATTATTCCTTTCTCTTCTATACAATCTTTACGCCATTACCCTATATAAATTTAACCAGAATCCCAACAAAATATTCCAAATCCTTCTCTTTTCTAGTTTGAAATTTAACCTTAATAATAACCGTTTGTAAATTCTATTAATTTAAATTCTTTATTTTTTATTACTTTATTTTTTAAAATTTTTATTTTAATTATAACCTTGTTAATTGTGTAAAATTTACGCATATTTCATTTTTTTTTTCAATATATATATATATATATATTTTTTTTTTTTAATAAATGATAATATTAATTAAAATATATGATATAATTAAAAATTGTATTAAAATTTTTTATTATTTAGTAATAAAAAAAATAAATATAGCATCAAAAACTATAGCTTTAAGAATAAAAAAATGTAAAATATTTAATTTTGTATTAAAATTTATTTTGATAAATTAAAATTATTTTATTAATATTAAAATTATAAACGAATTATTTAATTAATAAAAAAGAAATAGATAAGTAATAAAAACAAAAATTAAAATTATTTTTCATTTAAATTTAAAACTATATGTACCATCCTCCATTTAGTAAAGCTTTTTTATAAAAAAATAAAAATAATATTTATAATTATTATTTGTAAAAAAATACATCTCCTTTTCCATTTTCTTATAAAACATTAAGAGCTCTAACAATTTAATCAGTAGGAAGATCGTAAAATTCTAAATTTATAAGTTATTAAAAATAAAATAATAATAATAATAAAATATTACTCTCTTTAGGAGTTGTTTGAGGCCCTTTTTGAATATATTAAACAGTTTCTATTTCATTAATTAAATGATTTTATTTAACCTATAATAATAACTTAATATAAAAAATGTATTTTTTTTTATACCCAAACGTATATATCATCTGCTAATTCATAAGAAGAATACCAATTAACACTAAAATTTTCTTAATCTTATCCTTCCCATTAAATATTTTTTTATCTTGCAAGTTCATTTAAAATTTATAAAATTTCTTATTTTGAAAGTTTTTCTATTAAATAAATATATTTAATATAAATAAAATTAATTTTTTCAGTACTAACAACTCCAGTGCTTGAATCACTGAAAAATGTATTTGAATCACTTGCTAATTAGCTTAATGAAGAATTCAGAATCTTATTTTGTTTAAAGTAACTATGTGTTATATCACCCCAATACATTAATTATTTTTGCTTTGTTTCGGCATGATCTTGTATACTAATAATTTTTGTTACTTATATCTAATTTAATATTTATATTTTACGTATAAAATGCAGGACATTTTAATAATTTTGTATATAAATCTTTTTTTTCTTATTAAAAATTCTCGATAGTACTTTAAAATCTATTTTAATCCATTTATATTTTTATATTGAATTTATTTTAATAATTATAAAAAAAAAAAACTAAATATTTAATATAAATAATGTTTAAAAATTTTTTAATATTATAAAGAAATAATAATATCTAATATCAAGATATGTTTATTTTTATTTTTTCATAAAAATTTAAAGAATATTATTATCATAGATTATTTTAAATATTATTTGTATATTGTTATCAAACTATTAAATTATTTAGAAATTAAAAGCTTATTTAAAGAATTATAAATTTATTTTAACAAATTTGTTTATAGATAAATACATCTTTTAATATTTTAATTCTTCAAAAAATACTAAAAAATATTATTTAAATTCTAGTTATTTTTTTTTTAAATAAAAATAAATAAATTATTAATAGATTTTAAAAACTACAGTGATAAAAACAATTTCAGCTAAATAAATTTAATATAACTCTAAATTATAGACTATTGAATTGTTTAACTTTCCTAAATTTTGGGATAAATTTTTGACTTTAAAAAAATAATAAATATAATTTAAACATATTTCATTTTTTACAATTGCATTTTATATTTCTTAAATTAAATAAATGTTTAAGTTAAGTTTATTATAATTAATGTTTTATTTATTTTTCAAACATATCTTAATTATTTTCTTTAAAAAAAATAAAATAAAAATATATAATATTTATTTAAATAACCTAATTATATTTTCTAAAGGTTTAAACTTTATAAATTAAATTAATCTAGATGTTTATCTTAGCATCTTTATAAAATCTTAATATTCTCTAATTGTTTTTTATAATTATAAATTATAAATTCTAAATTAATATTTTACATTAGATTTTCTATAATTTCTTATAAATTAAATTTTAAGTTTATTAGCTAAGAAAATAACTATATTTATAAAATCCTAATTATTTTGTGTTTTTAAATTCTATAAATATAATTTTTTATAAATATACAAAGAAAATATATATTTTTATGTGGAAAAACCATTAAAGTTAAAAAGCTAAACAATATTTTAAATAAACTAATATTAGTTGCCTGAATTAAATAAATTTTTAAAGAAGAAATTAAAAAAAGGATTATTCTAATAATTATATTTTAATAAAATTTGAAAAAAAAATATATAATAATGAAATACTTAATTATAATTACTATTAAATGTAAAACCTTAATTTGTAAATACTTATTTTTTATTTATAGCTTCTTAATTAATTTTCTAAGTATAACTTTTATTATCAAACTTTACTTTTTAAAAGAAAATATTTTTAAACTAAAACAGTGGAGTTTGAGTTTTCTATTTCTAATTTAAATTTTATAATTTAAATTATATTTATTTAAAAAGTTCTTAATTTTTTAAAAATATTTATTTCGATTATTCTTTTCTATATAATAGATTGTTTTTACAAAATAAAATATAATTTTTTACATTCTATCAAATTAGTTATTTCTTAAAAAATCATTTTTTTCTTTAAATATATTTATTGAATAATCAATTACTTGAAAATCTTCGTTTGAAAATTTTAATAGTAAATTAATATTCTATTTAATTTACTGAAATAACTCATTTATATAATAATTTTTTTTTTTTAGCATAATATTAGATTATAAATATCTTAAATTTAGAAATTTTTTAAATTAACTTTTTAATTTTCTCCTATCTTATATTATACTATAAAATTTAAGTCTTTTTCCATCTATTTTAAATCTTCAACTGAAAAACTTTATTAGTTTTAATTTTTATTATCTTATTTCTTTTAATCTAAAATTTCATTGTTTTATTTAGATGTTTATTTTTGAATTTACTTTTGTTTTAACAATTATTAAATATTAAAAAAATCAGTTTATTATTAAGAATCCTTCATATTTATTGCTAATTTTCGCTCACATAATTCCATATTTATTTACTCAGAATATATTCTTATTGATTATTTTAAAGACTCATTTTATTTTTTTAAATGGATATAATTTTGTTTATATTATTTCTTAAAATTTTTATAAATTTAAAATATAATTTATAGCCAAAGTATATATATATATTTTTTTTTCATACATTTTAATTTTCCAAAGTTTAAATTTTATCTAGGTAAAATTAGGTTTAATTTATACTTTTTACACTACTGCTTATATTTTCGTAAGTAAAGTTATAATTATTTTAATACATATTTATTAACTTTTAAAATTAATATTTTTTTATAAAATTTTTTTAGCTTATTTTTAAGTTTAAAGTTAAATATAAAAAAATATAAATAATATAATTTTTTTTTATTATTAAAAATAAAATTCATTTTTTGAATATTTTATATGAAATTATAAATATTATAGAACATATAATAAATCCAATCAAAACATAAATAATAATTCTATTATAATATGCTCTTTTTTGCATTTACTATATATAAATTTCAGCTTCTGTATAATCCTAATTATTTTCTTTTAATTTTATTACAGTATTATCAATGACTTAGTTTTATTATTAAATATTATCTTATATATAGTTTGTATAATTTTCAGCTTAATAAATATCTTTTTTTGCATTCATTAAATTGAAATTAGACTATAATTGACTAACATATACATCTTCATTTTATGATAAATCAAATTTATATTTACTTCTATTTATTTCCTAAGCCTTTAATTTTTTTAAGTTTTCAATTATAATTAATTTTTGTTAAACTATAAAAATTACATGATTTTTTTTCGAACAATTAAATAAATTCTATTTTTCGAATTTATAATAAAATTCTTTGTATTAAACTTGATAATTTTTAAACTTCATTTATAAAAAAAATATTTATATTTTAAAATAGTTAGTTTATATAAAATTAACTTTTCCTTAAAATTGCTTTAAGTTTAAACATTCTAGCTCCATTACTTTTTATTTTTAATTTTTTATATTTTTATTTTTTTCAATTACATTTTAATATTTAATTCATTTAAATAAGATCTTATTAATTAACTTTTTTTCCCAAATAAATACTTAAAAAAGATCATTATTAATATAATATATTTAAATACTATTTTTTTATAATCTTTGAATTAATTCTTTTATTTCTACTTCATATTCTTAAAAGTTGTCCATTTTTTTAAAATAAAAAAATCTTAAAAAGTAAATTATATTTAGTTTATGATATTATAAATGAAATATTTAAATTAACAAAAAAATATAAGTTCTTAATAATTATTATATTTACATATATTAAATAATAATATTTTTAAATATATTAATGTTTAAATAATTTAATAAACAAAAGAAAAAATAACAAAAACATTATATAATTTCTTTAAGAAAAAAAAAAAAAAATACTACAATCAACATTCAATAATATATTTTATTAAAAAAAAAATTAATAGCATTTTTTTTTTTCCAATATCTAAATAAAACTTAAAATAAAAAAAATATAGAAATAAAAAGAAATGAACTCAATATCCATATTATGCAAGTTAATTCTTAATAGCTTTAACTTAAGGTAATCCAAGTTCTTTTTATCTTTCGTTATGGGCCTTAACTTTCTTTTAGAAATAAGTAGTTGCTCTAGCTTTTCTTTTAGTTTCTAATTAATCGACCAAGTTTTATTTGCTCCATCCAACTGAATTGCTCAAATCTCCTAATTTACAATAGTGCCTTTAGTTTTTCAATCTTTAAACTTTTAATGCATCAACAACGACTTATTTCTTAACTCTATCGTATGGTGCAGGTACTCCTTCAAAAATTTTGAGTTTTTCTATTTTTATTTTTTTATAAATTATTTTATCTTCACATAGATTTTTTTTATTACATAAGGCAGCAGCTCCTCTGGGTGTTAAATGAGGGATCATTCCTCTTACACATCTCCAGAAAATTTTTGTAGGGGCTCTGAAATGTTAGAAACCTCTTCTGGGATTGTGATTCATCCATTTGTTTAAGAATTCACTGAATTTAACTCTGTTTCTGAAAAGTGATCCGGAAACGTTAATGCCTTCGGCTCTTACTACTACAATTCTTTATCCGGATAAAAGTTCTTTGGCAACATAGGATGCTAATCTTCCCAATAAATGGCCTTAAGCGTCTATAACTACGAGTTTGTCAAACATTTTTTCTTTGTTTTTTTTTTTTACTTTAATTTTTTTATATTATGATTTTTTTCTTATTTTAATTATTATATATTTGCTACTTTTTTTTTTATACTCCTTTTGTTTTAATATTTATTCTTTTTTGTATTTTTTTATTTATTTAATTTTTTTTTTTTTCTTATTAATTTTTTTATTTATTTTTTATATTTTATCTTGTATTTAATTTATCTTTTTTTTATTGTGTTTTCATTTATTAAATAAATATTATTAGATAATTGAATTCTTATAAAAAATATATTTATAGTAAAAATCATTTTTTTTAATTATTATATTTATATAACTGTTTAATAAAATTAAAGTCATTTTATTTATAATTGAATTTTGTTATTTTTTAATTTATAAATAACTTATCTATAAAAATATTATAATAAATAGTATTTAAAATTATATAAAAATTTTACATGAGCAATAATAAATTAATCAAATATATATATATTATTTTATATTTAATATAATTTTTATATTAATAAAAAATACAAGTTAGCTTAAAGCATCAAACACTTATTTAATCTATATATTTTTAAAATATTAAATCAAATTTCTTTATTAAATATAATATTTTTTATTTACAAAACATATTAATTTTATTAATTTTTTAATATAAAATTTTATTTTTGATTGGCAATTATAATGAATTTTGTTTATTTGAAAGTTCTTAGAATAAAAATATTTAGTTTATTGCATTTTATTTCATATGTCATTATTATAAATGGAATATTTTTGACTTTAATATTATTTAATTTAATATTTAAGAATAATATTAAAAATAAGATATTTGTTTAATTTAAAATATTATTTTTTTTATAAATAATATTTGATTTATAATTCATATTAGTTCATAAAATAAAAGTTTTCAATTAAATTCAAATAAAATATTTATAAAAATAATTAAAATTATTACATTAAAAAATATTTATAAAAAATTTTAAATTTATTTACAGCAAATATAGATAATACAATAAAAATGTAAATGCTTTATTAAATAAGCAAATTAAAACAATCATATTATTTATAAATAATTAGATAAATTAAAAGTTAGTTTAAAAATTTAATAACTTTAAATTTAAATAATAACAAAAAAATAAATAAAAACTATATTATTTAAAACAAATACTGTTTAATCAAAAAAAAAAAATCAATATTTTTTATTTTTCATCAATATAACTAGTTTTTTTAAATTAATTTAAAAAATGTTAATAAATAAAAAAAACGAAATGTAAAAAAGATAAAGCTTAAAAAGAATTGATTTTTTATAAGAAAACGGTAAATATAAAAATAATGAAAATTAAATATTACATCTGTCAAAAAAATTATCATTTATTTCGCCTATATCAAGAAATTTCAAAAAAAAAAACTAAGAAAAAAATGAACTTATAAAAAAATAAAAGTCTTTTTATATTAAAAGCTTCTTTTTTTTCTTTATATAATAAATAAAAACAATTAATATAATTACTTTAATCAAATAAGATTTTAAATAAAACTTAATTTCGTGAGAATAAATTAATTAAGTAATTTTAAGATTTACTTCATTCTAAAAAAAATTAAAATTAAGACCTTTTATCACTAATAAGCATATAGTCCTCTTTCCACAGAAATTGGGAAAAGAAAACAAATAAAAAATATTTCCTGCTAAATAACCAAGACAAAATAGTTTGAAAATAAAAGATAATAAATTATTAAAAATAACCAAAATTAAATTAAATTTTGTAAATATTGAATCAATCTGTTTTCCAAACGTTATTTATTAAAATATTGACTGCTTGCCATTATTAAGTAAATTAAACTAATTCTTTGAGTATAGCTCTTATATTTGCCATATTTTCCCATCTTATCAATCCATATTTTTTCCTCTTTCTATTCTTAAATTTTAAATGCATTTTTTTTAATTTATATTTATAAAAATTTACCTTAAAATTTTTTTTTTTTTTTCTAAATATAATGTAATTCTTAAATATAATAAAATATGTTTTTTTGAGAAGAAATGATGAAATTATGAAAATGAAAAAATTTTATAAAAAAATTAATTTTTTAATTATAATTTTTTGTTTTAAAATATAAAAAAATAACAATAACTAAACCAAATGATAAATAGATCCTAATTTTTTGATTTTGAGAGAAGGGATTTTTTTTCTTTTCTACACATAAACATATTTTTAGATAGTAAAAGAAAATAAAAATTAGAAGATTCAGAAAAGGTCCTATTAATTTAGAAAGTAAAAAGAACCAGAATTTAATAAAATTAATACATTTTTTATTAATAAAATATACAAATATTTTTATAAAGAAATAAATAGGAGAAAAAGAAATAAATAATAACAGAATTTATATAAAATAATGAAAATAATAAATAAAAATATCTATTTTATTTATAAATAATATGCATTATAATAAATATTATATATAAATATAATATATATTTTTTTTTTTCGTATTTCATTTTTAAGGCGTTAAAGTAAATATTTTATCTGAAGTAACCGATAAAATAAACTAACCAGCTAGTTTATATTAATAAGTGCTGGGCATTATATAATATCCAGCTTTATTTATGTTTTATAAAAAATAGCTTTCTTCTATAACTTAAACAGGCAAAAAGTTCACATCTCGAACTTTTTGATCATCATAACTAATTTTTCCTTCTCTTTTTTCTAATAAATAGATGCCAATCATGCCTCCAACAGTATTCTACATGTAATAATAAAAATATAAATATATATATTTATATATATATATTTATATATATATATATATATATATATATATATATATATATATATATATATATTAAATGTATGATATTTTAAAATAATTACTTTAATTTTTGCTTTCCAATTCTTGTCAGCAATAGATAGAGTTATTTTGAAATTAGTGGGTACATTTTCAGGAAAAGATAATAAAAATTTAGGATTTTAAGTCCATGTTTTTTTAGATATTTCTTTTTCAAAAGGTTCATCATATAAATGACAACCTCCATCTGTAACTTCATTTTCCCATTTTCCTATTAAAACAGAGTTTATATTTTCATCCAATTTTTACAATTAAACTGGATGATTTGAAAATATAGTTAATTTATATCCCGCGTACTTATCTTCTTCGTTCATTGAAGGAATTATTATAAACGGACCTTCTGTAGGATTCCATGAAAAAAATAAAGCTGCAACTTCATCATTCTTATAAAAGCTTTCTTTAAATTTTTCCGCATAACCAACAAATAATTTCCTCTCAATATGAATCATTTCTGGTGGTTCTAATTATTAATCGGTTTGCGCTAATAATCTTTATAAATCTGTTTTTTTAAAAAATATAAAATAAAAATATATTAAATAAAATACTTGATCCTGTTTATTTTCCTTTAGTTTGGATTTAAATAGGCTTTCCCTTAACTTGTTATTGCTTATTTTTATTTAAATTATATTAACAAATAGTCATTCCTATAGTATTAGTTCTGGTTTTTTTAATTTAAGTAGTTTTTCTTAATATGATTTTCAAATTTGTTGCCTATTTCAAATTAAGAAAATATTAGGGATTCCTACACCAATTAGGATTATTTTTATTTTCTATTTTTCTTCTTCCTCCTGCATTATGTTATTCCCATTATTAATCTTCGATTGAAAATTCCAAAGTTTCTGGCATTTCCATTATTTCTATCTTTATTTATTTGTATAATAAAATATATATACATATATATTTTACAGGTTCTGATGCAAAAATTCTTAAATAAAAAACTCTTTTTTCGTCTTTTTTACTTTCTGTTATCATATTAGGTACAATAATATAGTTTCCATAATTTTTTCCTTCAAATTTTTTCAAGGTTATATATTATGTTATTTCTCTTTAAGCTGATGCTTAACCATTTGGATTTGCTTCTATTATTATATTATTATCATCTGGATATTCCCAAACTCTATTTTTTCTATCTTTTTGTAAAATTACAACAAAATTGCATTGTACATATGAATGTTTAGTTAATTTTTCATCTTCAAGCATCAAACTTATGTACATTTTAGTTTCTTTTGTTACTTTTAATCTAAATTGAGGGTTATTAAACCATTTTTCATCTGTATCTAATTATAAATACTCAGGCATATTTTCTTATCCATCGTAAATCATTTTAGGAGGACAAACACCTCCCTTTTTTTTGTTATTTTTAATTTTTTTTTTCAATATAAATAAGGTTAATAATATAATACCTATGTTTTTCCCTACCATTTAGATTCAATAGAATAACAATCCCAAGATTCTGGGAAAACTTTGCAAACATAAAGCTTATTGAAATGTAAATACCACTATTCATAAATTTTATAATTAAAAAAAAATAAAAAAAATAAAAATACATCATGATAACTCATCCACCAAGTTCCATCTGATTTTTTCGATTTAAAAACAAGTTTTAATTTATCTCTTAGTTCCCCTATTTTATAAATATTATCATTTATATTTATATATAAAAAAAATGAAAAATTACTATATTTGTCCCATTCTTCAGAGTCATCACAAAAAGGCCCATTCCATCCACCATCGGTACCCCAAGGATTTCTAATCCTAATAAGCTTAAGGTTTTCTTTAGGAAATTCTCTAATATCACAAATACCATAATGATGATTTTCAAGAATACCATGAGTACCAGTATCTGCATTTTTCTTTAAAATAACAAAAAAAAATGTTAAAAAAATATAAAAATAAAATTATTAAAAATAAAAGTATTAAAAAAAAAATATCTACAGTTCCTTTTCCTTCAACATAATTAATACATCCAAGATAAAATTTCTAATGGAAATAATTATTAAGTATTTACCAAAATTAATTAGATTCAATTAATTTCGATGTATCTGGATCATTAAGAACCCATCCTTCTGAAACACCACCAGTAAGATCCACCAATCCTTCCAAAATAGATCCTTCGCAAATTTTCTAATAACATCCATGTAATTTTGAGTATGCTTTTTCCATTAAAGGAATCCAAAATTCATTAGGAGATGCACAATAAGTAAACAAAATCTATTTTGATTCTTAATCAAAAGGTAATAATGTATCTACAATAACCTGTTTCCATTCTCCATTTTTAAAAAACTAAAAAGAGACAAATCCAGCATTGTCAAAATATTAAGTTTCCACAAATAACTTATCTAAAATATCTCCATGAGTACTAATTAGTATTATTGCTCCGATAAACCAACTTTCTCCAAAAGCTCCTTGCTTTGCATCCCCATCTTTATCCTGTATAAATTTTGCATCCTTAGATATTTATTATGGCCTTTGCCATACTATTTTTCTTATATCTTTTCCCCATTCAGGAATATTCATTGTGTCTTTAAATAATGAGCTATTATCTGGCCTAAAATCTGGATCTTCCCACATTTATCCTGTTTCCTTCCAATATTATATAATTTAAGCTTCCTATTCTTGATATCTAGACATATTATCTTATTATTCCTATTAATATTAAGATGTGTCTTATTGATTGTTCATTTGCTAATCATCATAATCTTAAGCGTCTTAATCTGAATCATTTTAATCATCTTCTTTTTATTCATTGCTATCGTTTTGAGGCGAGTTCCCATTTTCGTTTGAGTTGTTAGAATCCTCATTTAAATTTTCCATTTCTTCTTGGTTTTCATGGTTATCAAGGTTATCTTAGGAAATTTCTAATTTATTTATAATTTAAAAATAAATGTTATCATTTAATAATTCAATTTTTGTATTTAGATTTTATTTTTTTATGTTATATAGTGAATGTGTTATGTTTATATTGTTTTTTTATTTTCGTTTTTTTTTTTAAATAAATAAATATATATTTTATTTACATTATGACATTGCTATTTTATTGATCTCTATTTTGTTAATGCTTTTTCTTTTTTACTTTTATTTTTTATATATATGTATATAGTTGTTTTATTTTATTTTTATTTAAAAAAAGTTATAAATATATATAATCATAAGGAATATTTCATATTATTTTTTATTAAGAGTTAATGGATAATGAAATTAAATTAAATTAAATTAATACACTATTATTAATAATTAAAACATCAAATTATTAATATTTGAAATAAGTAAATGCTTTTTTTTAATTATATAATATATATAAGAATTTAAGAGAATCTTATTTATCAAAATAATTATATATATTTTGGCACAATTTGTATTAAATTAAAAATCAAGTTAAAATATATAATAAATAAATTTAATTATAGATCATTTATTTTTTATTTATCTAATACAAAAAATTTATATTAAAGATTATAATTTACGAAATAATAGAAAATATAAAATGAACACAAATATTCTATATTTTTTATATAAAATTAAATTTTCAACTTTTTCCATTTTAAAAAACTCGTTTTTTATACTTTTTTATAGTAATAAAATAAAAAAGCAAATGCAAATTTCAATTTTTAAACTTAATTAATAAAAAAAATATTTGATAAATAAATTATTTAATAAAGCTTTTATATACCGAAATATTTAATTATCATTTAAAATAATGAGTTAAAAGAAAATTCAGTTTAAATTATCAAGTGCAATTATTAGTGCATTTACTTAATCAATGTAAATAACCAATACATAATTAACCATTAATATTAAAAAATAACATAAGGCATGATCTTTAGTAAAAAGAAAATTAAAGGAAATTATCTGCATTAACTGATAATTTTGTAAAAACTGAACATCGTTAAAATTTGAAAAAGAATAAATAAATATCATCTGAAAATCCAATTGAAAAAAAAAAATATAGAATAGGAGAATAATATAAATTTATGGATTCCCATAGAATAGGATTAAAGGAGTTATAAGAAAGATATTTAACTAATATATAAACAGGTTTAACATAACAAGTTGTAGATTTAAAATTAAAAAAAATGAAGAATGTATTATAAAAAATAACTAAAAAAACAATTTTTATAAAATTTGTTAAATAATTAAAAAAAATTTATCATCTTTTAATTCTATTTGCATCTTTTTTAAGTTTTTTTTTATATTATTAAAATATGTAATATTAGATGGTATTTTTTCTTTTTTGTAAAAAAAAATATTTATTTATATACTTAAAAAAAAAAAGTTAATAACAGGATTTATTCTATTTACAATTGCAATGGTATCTAGTTATACTAGCCTTTATATTTAAAGAAAAGATATTGATATATTAGAAAATATAGACTAAATTATACCTTAAAAATCGATAGTTATTAGAAACTCAGAAGAAGTATGTATTAATTCATCAGAAGTAAAAAAAAAATAAAAAAACTAAAAATATAAAAAAAATATAGCTTGTATAAGGGGATATTATTAAATTAAATTAAGATATGGTTTCTCCTGCTGATATAAGAATTTTAGCTTCAAGCGATCTCTTTATTAATAAAACTATATATACAGGAAACAAATAAGAAATTTACTGTCATCCTGAATGCATGAATAAGGAAAATCCTTTAAGTACTACTAATATTATATTTTTAGGCTGTAAAATTACAAATGGAAAGGCATTAGGGATGGTAATATAAACAGGGACCGAAACTCTAATATAAGATTTGGCATATAAATGTATAAAAATAAAGTGAAAAATAAATAAAATATATATTTATTTTTCTAAATATTTAAAAAAAATATAATAAATATTTTTAGGTAGCTAAGAAGATTATTTCCCTGACAGTTAATCTAAAAAATACTTTGATATATTTCTAAATTAAATAAGTTTTGCTAGCCTTGGATTCGGGTTATTATTAATAACCATAAATATAATCTTATAAAGAGATATAGGAATAGAGAATTATCTTTTATTTTCAATAGGAATTTTAATTTCAACTCTTCCTTTAGGAATTATAATATTAAAAACATTATATATTGTAATAATTGAAAGAAAACTTTTGTAATCAAAGCTTTAATTAAATTATAGAGAATCATTGACTGCTCTGGGCTAATCCACTTGTATTTGTATAGATATGACAGGAGTTATTACTATAAACAAATTTATTGTAAGCGATTTATGGTATGATGATAAACCCGTAAATACAAACAAATAATTTATATTTTAATACTATTTATTTATAAAAAAAGCATATAGGCAAGAATTCTTAATTATCTGATAAAGATGAAAAGTTATAATATAATATAAAAAAAGATTAATCATTGTAATTTATGATGGAATGTGCAGTTTTATGCAATGATGCATATTTTTCAGATAATTTGCCTGCCTCAGTAATAAAAGAAGTTTAATAAAATAATTAGCTAAATTTATAATAAAAAAAAGAAAAACTTTATAATTTGTAAAAAGATTATTCTCAAGAATTAAAAAATAAAAAATGGATTGATTGGCCTTGTGTTGGATAAGAAAACGAAATTGCTCTTCTTAAATTTTTTTAACCTTTAAAAGATATTAGATATATAAGAAAATAATAGCCTATTATTCATGATTCTTCAGGATAAAAAGCTAAAATTTAATTTAGTTAATAAAATTATTATTCTTTTGTTATATGCTCAAACATTTAGGAAAGATCTTACTTTACTTTATATACCAAAGTATATTTATAAATAAATGTTTTTGTATTAATATTTATATAAATGAAGGGATCTCCTTAAGTTGTTTGGAATATGTGTGATAAAATATATGATAGAGGAAAAATTACTAAAAAATCTAATAAATGGGAAATAAAATTTGAAAAAATTATGAACTTTTATGGTAAAAATAGTTATAGAGTTTTAGCTTTTTCAAAATTAGATTTAAGTAAAAAAGTAAGTTAAAAAAAAAATTAAATATATAGAATAAAAAAATAGATTTTCAAGTAAAATACAGATATAGATATAAAAGAATTAAACTTTCCCTTAAACAATTAAATATTTATAGGTTTAGTTGCATTCGAAAATCCAATTAAGTAAAGAAAAATTAAAAAAATATTAAATGAAATAAAATAAAAAGTTATTAAAACATTAATATAGTAAAATCCTGGTAAAACGAAGGTCGAAAAATAATAATGATGACAGGTTAAAAAAAAAAAATGAACATAAATTAGACAAATAAATTAAAAAAAAGGTGAAGACGCACTTACAGCCACTTAAATAGCAAAAAAAAGCCATATTATAACAATGAAAACTTAACTAGATATTTAAAAAGATCTAAATATACCTCCAGAAAACGCAATAATAGACGCCTAATCATTAGTAATAGATGGTGATTAACTTGCAAAACAAATAATCCAAGAAGAAGGTCTTCCAGACAAACAAAAAGGTAAAATACTAGAAAATTGGTTAAAAAAAAAAGAAATAATATTTACTCGAATCTAGCCTTCACATAAAGTATATATAATAAAAGCTTTAAAAAAGCTAAACCATATTATAGCATCTACAGGAAAAGAATGTAAAGATTCCCCATATATAAGATTTTCTGATGTAGGAATTTCATATGGGATTTAAGGAGATGAAATTGCAAAAGATTCTTGTGACTTAATTTTAATGGAAGATTCATTACATGCTTTAAGTAAAGGAGTTTGTGAAGGAAAATTAATTTATGAAAATTTAAAAAAGTCCATTTCGTTTATCCTTGCTGCATCTGTACCTTAAATTATGGCTTTTGTTTATTGTTTTTTGGCTGCAATACCTTTTGCACTTACTCCTTTATAAGTTTTGGTGATTGATTTGGGAATTGTACATATTCCGGCTTTATTTTACGTATATTTACAAAACGAGAAAATTGGATTTCAAAATAATCTTAAATAAGTTAACAAAAGAATGATTGTTATTGCATATTTTTTGGTTGGATTTTGTTCTTGTTTGGCTGGATTTTTATCTTTTTTTATGGTTTTAAAAGATTTTGGCTTATCTCATGAAAATCTATTAGGAATTTTAGAAAAGAGAATTTATGAACCTTTAGATGGTGATGAATTTGATACTAATAGCTTTTGGTTAGGAAATTCGTTATTAAAATAAAATTTTCCTTGTTAAAAAGGAAAAGATTATCCAAATCAATTAGGAAGACATTTAGATTGGATTTTTCATAAAGATTTTTCTTTTGATTTCAGGTTAGCTTTAGCTTATTGCGATGTATTAAAAAAAAAAAAAAAAAAAAAATATAAATTTGTAGAATGATGGTAATTGGAAAATAAATTTAAATAATAATAATTAACAACTTTTGTGTGAATCGAATATTATGAGTGATGTTTCGGAAAGACCCGCTTGTTATACAACTGAAGTATTGAAATATGCCTAAACTTCATATTTATTTTCTAGTAGTGTAGTTATAATGATTAATTATTTATTATCTAAAACTAAAAGTATAAGTTTTTTTTATGATTAATCTGGGAATTTCTATATTATTTGTGGATTATTTTTTTAAATATTTATACTTTTGTTGTTCAATTTAGTATCTGTATTTTATCTTTCAATAGGAACTAGAATTATTGAATTTAAGTATTTTTAATTTTTTTTTAATAAATATGGATTTTTTTTTAGATATTACGGCTTTTATGGAGTTCCTTTTGGAATATTTTTATTTATTTTAGACGAAATAAGGAAATTTTTTATAAGAAAATAATTATATGTTTTAAATTAAAATAAAATAAAACAAGAAAAAAATTAAAAAAAAGAAAATTACAATAAAGACGAAATTATATTAGAAGATAAATTTTAAACAACAAACGAAGATGAGAAAAAAAATTTAATACAAAAAATTAAATAAGAAACATAAAATAATTATATAAAATAAGAATAAAATACTTGGATATTAAGACATGTATTAATCTGAAAATAAAAGAATTAATTAGTTTTTTTTTTAAAAAAAAAATCTAAATATTTTAAGTTTTTTGTTTCAAATAAAAATATGAAAATTCTTTTTAAAAAGATAATAATTTTGCTTTTAATAAATATATGTATATTGAATCTCTTTTATTTTATTTTTTTATTAGCATTTAAAAAATTATACCTTTTATTTTTTTATAATTAAATAATAAAATTGATTGTTAATATTAAAATAATATAATATTTACAATAAAATAAATTAACATTTAAAGTTTTTTAAATTTAAAAATTAATTTTTATAAAATATCAGTTCCAATTATCAATTTTTGCATTATAATAAACATGAGTTTTCCCTTAAGAACATTATTAAGGCCTATCAGGATAATCCAAAATTCTACATTTTTTAATTAAGTATATTGCAGGATTAATAGGCTAATAAGCGATTCCATACTAGGATTTATTTTCAGTATATCCAGGGAAAGGATGCTAATAAGTTTATTCGGTAAATTTTAGGGAATTCGAATTATTAACAGTGACTTTGAAAGGTTTATAAAATTCATTATATGACGTGTGCCCCAAAAAAGGGACTTTAATATTACTGGGTTTATATTAACTATTAAAAGCTGAAGGAAATGGATTATTAATATTAGTCTTAAATGTAGAATTTTAAGGAAAACTATTTTAATAATTAGATTTTTCAAGAAAAGGTGCATTTAATTTCGGCATATTTTTTTAAAAAGAATTCTCTTGTGCTTTTTCTAGTTCATATTTTGGGTAACTCTTGCTATAAGTAGTTTCTTGATTAAACTCAGTTTTTAAAAATATTTCATTTTAGGGCTAATGCTTGAATGTTTTTTATATTTAATGTTCTGGAAAATCTCTTTAAAAAGTTGTTTTTAATTGTTCTGGAAAATATTTCTATACTTTAAATTATGGATGGTTGTGACGAAATTTAGGTGATTAAACCTTTCTATTGAATATATATTTTTATTAATTTGTCGATTTTAATTAATCTGGAGAATATGTTAATTAATATTAAGGACAATGATGTTTCCTACATGAACATATTTAGCATATACATTCTCCATCATGCTTGAGTTTTCGATCTTTTGGTGATTTTTATAAATTTTTTATGGTTTTTTTATATTTAAATCATTATTTTATGTATGTTTTTATATAGTGTTAAAATAAAAGCATATTCTTATATTTAAAATTTTATTATATTTTTACTTATTAAGTTTTTTTATTATAAAATAAGATTAATTTCTAAAATTATTAGAGTTATTTTTTATATAAAATTACTAATAAATAGTTTTTTTATAATATTTTTGCTTATTCTTTATATATTAAACAATGTATGTGTAATTTTATATTTATTTAATATTTTTTTTGATAACTTATCATAAAAGTTATTTTTTAATAATAATGAGAATTTATGATATATATTTTAAATTAATATTTATATATTTACATGAAACACACGTATTGTATATTTTTTTTTAATTAATAAATAATATAATAATATGGTAAAAGGATATTTAAATTAATTGATTAATATATTAATTAAAATTATATCATTTTTGTTTCTAATATTTTATATAAAATACGTTTAATTGAATTTTTTCTATATTTATTATTATGATTTTTTTTAATTTAACTAAAATTATTTATGTATCTTTAGTTTCATATTTTTGCTTATATCATAATGTTTTTAAATATGAAAAAAAAAATATATAATTAAATAATACAAATAGAAAAATAAAAAAAAACAAAAAACAAAAAATGAAGAATGGTTTAAATTTTTAGCATTCCTAAATATAAAAATAGTTTACCTCCTAATTATAGAATAAAGTAAATAAAAATACTTAGTTACTAAAATTCATATTCTTTTTAAATAAAATATGAATAATAAATATTATTTTTAAAAATTTAGAAACCTAAACAATTTCTAATAATTTCAATATACTTTATAATATATTTTTTATCCACAGTTGTTTAATATAGTACTTATTAATCTTTTATAATTTATTTTTATATCCTTGCAATAATCTTAGTAAATATTTTTGTTAAGGTATTTCCTTCATTTCGTGAGTTAATAATTTTATTTTCTTAAGTTTTGTTTGCATTTATTCTTAGTTTTAAAAATTAATAAACCAATAAATTCTTATTAGGATAAAACATATGTGTATGTTATGTAGTATAAAGTTCAAATATGATATATATAATTATTGGAATTATTGCTAGCTAAGTTACAATATTAGTAAATATAGAATAAATGAATTATTCTGAATATATATGTAGTTGTTTAGTAGTATTTATAATTATTTTGGAAAAATATTACGAATACAAAGAATCTTAATATAGTTTTTATTATGATTTAAATTTAAAATAGTATTAGGACATTATATAAAACTAAATAAATAATGAAATACTTTTTATTAAATATGAAAGCGGGCATATTCATTTACATAGTAATTATTTTATAATACGAAATAATAAATTCTTCATCTCATATTTATTTTTTAAAATATATATTAGATTGTAATTAAAAAGCTAGATAGCATAACATCCACAAAAATAGTATAATTTTTAATTAATTTTTAGAAAAATAAATTATCGATACATAAAAATCGAGGATTTAAATGGTAAAAGTAGATTAAATAAAAAATAATTTAAAAAGTTATTTATTAATAAGACTAAGTTTGATGAATGAAAAAAATGAAAAAATAGTTTAAAATAATACAAATAATAATAATAATAAAATTACTAATATTACAAACATATAAAAAAAATAATATAAATGTAGTATATAAAATATATTAGATGAGTAATATAATTAAGACACATTATATTGTGATTATATGGTAAATAATAAAATAAAAAGAATACAAAATAAATGTAGCTTAGATATACTTAGATTAAAATTTGCTACTTTTTCTAAGTTTTAAGGAAAATTTAAATTAAAGGCATAAATAGTAATCTAAAAAAATATAAATATAATAGTCTTTGCTTATAAAATGTATTGAAAATTCAAATTATAAATTGAAAGAAATTTTGAATTAAATTTAAATTAAAAATTATGATATTGTTAATAAAATAATTATTTTTTTATGAATAATATATTTGCTTTATAACTATATTTAAAAAGTAATATTTAATTAATTTCTTAAACATTTGATTTCCTTCTTCTACTTAAATAAATATAATAATTATTTAATAATAGTCTAATTATAAACTTTGACTATCAAAAAGAAAGCTTAATAATAAAAAGCGATTAATAATGCTTATTTTATATTTTAACAACTATGTGTAGTTAATTTAATACAAATAATAAAATATTATTAAATATAAACCAAATAAAAAAATATAATGAATATAATGATGATGTATTAGAAATAGCATTTGTTTACGATGATAATATAATTGAAAATTATAATTAAAATAAGGACAAATATTTAAATGAAATAGAAAGTTATATATTGAAATATTGTATTAAAAGAATAAGCACAAACGGAATCAATATAATAAACAGTTAAAATAATAAGAAAATATATTCATTTAAATTACTTTTAAATTTAGATATTCTTAAATAAAGTTCAGTAAGAAGTATATAAGCATTTGATTTATTAAATAGTTAATATTCTATATAATAATAATTTAAAAATTCTTCTTCATAAAAATTCTCATCTAGTAAATAAAATAGTGTAACTAATATTAAAAATTAATCCCTTTATTTTTGTAGAAAAAGAATTAATACTTAACCTTTTGCATAAATATCTTCTGCTAGCAAATAAAATTAAAGAAATAATTAATACAAAATTAGGTACTCTTAAAATTCTCAAAACAATTATTGTTTAAAAAATATTAATATTGTTTATAATGAAATAACAGAATCTTAATAGCTTGAAGACACTAGGAAAAATACTTAAGAAATTAAATAATTAGAATTAAACCATAAAATAAATATCGAATTTATAAGAGTAAAACATATATCTATAAATTCTGAATCTATTCCTGAAGTAAATTGAAATAATTAATAAACGAATTAAAAATTTAGTCAAAAATATAAAAAAAAAATAATTAATTATTAAAAAAACATAGAGATATAGTTTATAATATAATTTATATTATTTAATTATATCTTATACATTAAATTAATTTATTAATATAAAAATATATAAATATATAAATATATATATATTTATATATATATATATATATTACTTAAATTAATTCTAAAATGGAGATAATTAATTAATTGAAGCAAATTAAATAATCTTTTTCTAAATTTAGTTGGACTTATGCAATAATAGTATTATAATCTTTCTTTGAGCACAGGATATTTTTAATTTATGATTCTATTTAATAATTAATTTTTATTTATGTTAAAAATACTTTAAATATTTTTATTTTTCAAAAATAATAAATTTTTTTTATTTCATAAATTATTACCATTGATAATATTGATTTTTATGATACATTTATCATTAATAATTACACTGATTAAGATAGTAATTATTATGAATTTTAGTGAGATTATGTACTCTTAGTATAGAAATTTTATGCAAAAGATAATAAAATAAAAAGGAGAAGTTGAATCAAAATTAATTCTTATTTAAATTTGACAAATGGAAGAGTATAATATAAAGAATAATCAACTGTTTTATTAGACATATTTTTTTCAGAAAATAAAATAATTCTTTAGAAAGTTAAAAGATTAAATATAGGTAATAAATAAATATTTAAATAAAAAATAATTATTTAATATAAATATGTATATTCTATTATATGTTTTTTTTAAATTATATTTATCTTTAAAAAATAAAATAAAAAAAAATTAAAATAATTTTATTATATACATTTATAAGCTTTTTTTATTTATTTATAAAATATATTTACTAATTATTATTAATCATTATATAAGACAATGAAATTTATTTTTATATATTAAAAAATTAATTCTTATGCAAATATAAAAAAATATTGTTTGCTTATATTAATATTAAAAAATTATATTACATTTTTATATTTTTAAAAAATATTTATAAAATAATTATTAAAAAAATATATAATTTTTTTCTAATAATTATAATAGTATATTAAATATATCTTAACACATATTATAATTCATATTTTAAAAATTAATATTATATTAAATTATAATTATAAAATGGAACAATAATTAATTCCTACTCTTTACACATAAATAAATGCAACAAATAAACATACTTTAAAAGCTGTTTAAGGATCATAAAAATAAAAATAACATAGCTGTAAAATAAATAAAATATATAAATATACTTTAAATTTTTATTTTTTATTTAAATATATTAATATAATAAAAATAATTACATAAATTACATAACTTATTAAACTTATATTATTTTATTTTGTTATATTAATACGATTTTTCCTTATAAAATAAATGAATTAATATAAATTTAATTTAGATTTAAAATATTATCATATACAAATATTATTTATTGAAATATTTAAAAAAATAGTTTTTGCTGGAGATACATTTGGGTATATATACAATTTCGAATTTTAAAAGGGATAATTATAACAAATATTTAAATCTCAATAAAACAGCAAAGAAATAAATTTTATTTAATCATATAATCAATAATAAGATATATATTATGCAACCGGAACATAAATAAAAGGAATAAATAAAAAAGGTAAAGAAATATTTAAAGGAGAAACTCACTAGACAGAACCAATAAGAAATTTTATTATTGACGATAATATAATATGGACAACAGGAGTAATTTTTAATAAAAAATAAATAAAAAAATAATAAAATATATATAAAAAGTAATATCTTGTAAATAAATTTGAAATAAACAATAATGATTTAAAAGAAACATCATATTATTAAAGCCCTGAAAAGATAAATTACATTTTGATAGGAAATTATACAGGTGAAGATTACTAAACGATTATAGCAAGTAGTGATAATCATCTTAAAATATTATAAGAAGATACCGTTTTAAACCAAATAGACACTAATTCTTAAATAACACACATTATTCCATACAAACCTTCATATTAAATAATAAACTCATGTAAAGAAGCCCCTAAAACGATGTTATGTGGTACTCAAAATGGTGAATTAATATACATAGACTGCAAAGTTAAATAAAAAAAAATCTTTTTGGAACCACTTTGGACCTTGAAGGGAAACTCAGAAGCTTGTATAAGAATATTTAATAGTTTTGATTTTCAAAAAAATGGGCTTTCAGATGTACTTTTAGCAAGGGAAGACTCAACTTTAGAATGGTGGGGTTGCAATATTAATGGTGAATTAGAAATTATATGGGAAAAATAATTTAATGAAAGTATAAATGGAGTTGAAGGAGGATATTTTGTAAATCAAGAAACAAGTGAATTTATTATAAGTAGTTTTTCAGGAAAAATAATAGGGTTTTAAGACACTTTAAGTAAGTTTAAAAATATTGATGAAAAATAAGTAGCTTAAAATTTAGATGTATTGCAATAAGAAATAAAAAAACTCGAGTAGACAGCATTAGAACTTGAATAAAATATAAACAATAATTAAAGTATATCCAAAGGAGCTTTTGGTAATGAAAAAACCTTCAAATTAAATTACAAAATAGAAATTCTCGTTGAAGATGCAAGTTATAATCTTTATTTAGATTCGGAATTAGGAATTGAACTTGCAGCTTTTTAAAGTGATTTGAAAATTGAAATAGTCGAATTTAATAATAAAATAAGTGTAAAAGGAAGCTCTCCAGATGATAATATTAATGGTAACTATTTTTTGGAAACTTATCGAGTAATTGAATAATCAATTAATAAATTAGAATTCAAACTCAGAACTTATGAAGGAAAATAAGGAGAAATTAAAGTTTTTGTAATTCCTTATAATTATTCTAATAATGCTTAAATACTAGTAGTGCCAATAAAGCCTTTATCTATGCACGTTAGAAGCAATTAGAATATAAAAGAAGGTAACTTTTAATTATTTTTTTAATTTAAATTAATATATATACAAATTATTAGATAGCTAATTTAATAGTTTAGAATTTATAGGAGACTTCTCTAAAAATGATATGCATACCTGGATTATGTTAATGATTAATGAAGTTCCTGTAAATTATGAAGATGAGAGTGTTCTTGTCTTTAAAAATGCACTTGTTGGTTCAACCCTTTTTTGTAAATATTAAGCAGGAAAAGCTTGCTTTAAAAGTGATTCTATTAGTACGATATGTATTATAAAAGATTTTGTTAATAAAGAAATTAATTAAAGAGGATTAAATGTTAGTGTTAAATGGGATGTTAACGATAATAGCGTTTTGACTATTTTTGAATTACTTAAACCTTAATTTGAATAACATAAAAAAAATAATGTCAAATGTAAAATAATTCCTGCATTAAAAGAGTTAAAACTAAGTGTAAATATAGATATATAAATATATTAATATATATTTAAATATATGTTTATATATATATACGTATATATTATTTATTTATTTAGGAATAAGAAAATAGTTTTATGTCTGATGAACTTAAATAAATTTTAGCAAATGGAGACGAATTACTTAAATAATTTTAAAATTTACCTAAAAAAATAGAATATTTAAAAGGAATAATAAGTGATCTGTAATTTTTTTTTGACTTATATTTTTTATTTAAATAATTTAAAAGAATATTTGATAGAGCAAGTTTAAAATATTTAGAAAATCCTCAAAATAAAATAGAAACAATAATGAGTTATTTAGATAAATATTAATATGATTAAGCAATAAAATACATATTAATGTGAAAAAATTAAAATATTATAAATCTAAAAAAATAAAAAATTATTTATTAAAAATACTTTATTAAATTATTAATTTTAGACTAAAAAAATTACATATCTAAATTTATATTTTTTTAAAAAAAATGTATGAACTTTCTGTTTAACCCACAATAAATTGGGAAGAATGGTGTGCAATTTTTACTTTATTATTTCGAAGAGACACAACCCCTGGTCCATATTCATCTAAAGTAATTAATGATTAAACATACAAATTAGGCTTAGAGTACTTAAATTAAGTATTGTTACGAGACAAACATAAAAATAATATATCATTATAATACACAAGTGATTTTTTGATCCACTACAGCCAAAAGGACTAAGTAAAAGATGATATGTTTATAAAGTCAGCTGGTTTGGACATTGTTAGATTTACAAGTCAAATAGCTGATATGTGCTAGAAAAAAAACGTGCGATCAATAAATGAAATGTTAAGAGAAATGGGTATGTAAGAACATGAATTTATATCAGAAATAAGACATTCATTAACCCATAAAGGCGTTCCTAGTGTATATTTAGTGAAGAAAAGTTTAGATTATTTAATTGGATTTATATTTTAATTTTATTGGCTAAAATAATGGGAAGAAATTGTAAAAAATTAACTTGTAGATTTTTATGAAGTTGATAGAATGACGAAAAGCATTTTAAAAAATTCTAATATAAACTTGAATTCATTTTTCGGGAAATCATTAATATTTTAAAATTCTAAAAAAGATAATATATTTGAGGAAAATATATTTTCTTTTCGAAAAAAAGTTAATTCTTTTGCTCTTAAGTTTCTTTAAGATTATAATGGAAAGGAGAGTTTTAATCTTCTGAAAAAAAAAAAACTCATTTCGCTTTCTTATTAAGTGAACTTCTCAAAATTCTGCTTTAAAACACTTTCTATTCATTTAATGCACAAGATAAAAAAAATTCATTCGCAAATAATTACAATAAAGAAATAATCATTACTAACTTTATACTTTTTTTAAAAGATTTAGCTGAAAATAAAATCTTTTCTTAAATCTTTCAAAAAGTTATGCATTTTTCTTTCTTATAATATAAAATTGAAAGGGTTATTTATTTAGCTGATATTTTACATGAATTAAAAGCATTTCCTCCTCTTTTTAATTAAAAATTAATGTTTAAATCAAGATTAGACAATTATAATAATAATAATTAGCAAAAAAATTAAGAAAAAAATAAAAATAGTAATAACACTAAGGAAATTGAAAATAAAGACCATTAAGAAAAAAATTCAGAATTAAAATTAGGAGTATTTACTAAAAAAATAGATTATTTTTTTAGTATATTAGGAAAATAATATATGTAGTCCACAACAAAAATATTAAATTAAGATTTGTGATTTAAAAAAATAATAATAATAAAAAAAAAAAAAATATATATTTTATAATTAATAACAATGTTAAACTAGTTTTTTTTAAAAAAATAATAATATATTAACATTTAATATATTAATAATTTAAAAAATAATTATATATATATATTATATATATATATATATATATAATATATTATAACATAAATATATATAAATATAAATAAATATTAGTTTTATTTTAATTACTATCTTTCTTTTATTTTTACTCTCTTTTAATTATCAAAATATATTAATTTCATTATAATTAAAAATATTATATTATCTTTATAATTGTATAATCTTTACGTTATTTTAATATTTTATATTAATTGTATTTTTAATATGCTTTTTTTTATTAAATTTTAAAAGAAATCTTCTTCTTTTTTAGACTTTATTAATTATAAACTTTTGGAGTCCTTTTTTTTTAAACTAATCATCATACAAAAATATACTTATAAATAAAATACTATGTTAAGCTAGATATCATTTAAAAATCTTATATTTATTTTTATGAATTTGACTTCTTTATAAGAATTAACTATTTTATTATATAATTTAAAATAGAACAAAAATCTCCAATATTCTCATTTAATGTTTGACCAAGTACATATATTATTCAATTATTTTATTAAAAATTTAAAGGTTTATTTTTATCATTAAATTCCCACTGTTATAAAGAGTTTAATTTTTATATAAGTTATTTTTGTATTTTTCAATAATAATATTTTTGCTATTATGAATTTTTTTCATTGCATTTACCTAATATTTCTGTAAAATATTTAAGGTAATATTCTAATGAACATATTTCCTATATATTTTAAAGAAGTTTAAATATTATTATATATAAAGAATAATTTTCTCCTACTTTCGAATTTAATAATATACTCTTTTTATTGAACTATCACCATCACAACTTAAAATAAATATTAATTTTATTTTAAATAAAAATAATTTTAGAATGTCTTTTTAATTATTTTTATTCAATTTATATAATTGAGGTTTAACATATTCTTTTAATAGTGTAAGCTCAACCTATTATTACTATTACAATAATTAGTTATTTTTTTTAGTGGAGTTTTAAATAATTTTTAATTATATCAATAAATATTCATAAATATATATATTTATATATTTATATAATTTTTTTTTTTTTTTTATTTTAAATTAACAAATATACTAATAAATTAATTTAATTTCTATATGTAAAAAATAGCCTAATCTTATAAATATAATGTTTAATTATTTTACTTGAAATTATTTATTTAATTTTTATATATTTATATATTAAATTAAGAAAATTAAATTAATTACATTTTTATATATAAAATTTTATTTATAAAATATCTTATTATAAATGTATATATATATTTTCTTTTAATTTACATATAAAATCTATATATTAAAATAATTTAAACATATAACAAAAGTTAAAATATCTCAAAATAAAAAAATATACAAAAAATCAATTAATAAACAAAAAATTCATTTTTATATTAAAGGAACCAAAGCATCAACGAAATTTTTGATTTCTTCTTAATTTTTATACTAACAATCTAAAACAGCATTTAAAATAAGAATAGTATTTCTTTCATTATCAGCACAAATCCACAATTTTCCATTAACCCCAACAGAAATTTCGAATTTACAATATTTTTAGAAATATTTAAATATATAATCATTTCCTTAAATAATATTTTTTGCATATTCAATTTGAATGTTTATTAATGCTCCATCTTTTAATTATCCAAAAAAGATTCTCCAGTCATCCATTATTTTTTCTTTTAGGATGAATACAATCCACTTTTATTTTAAATATTTATTCACTTCTATAACTCTACAAAAT